CGCTATGGTCCATCAGACGAAATCTCTTTTCAAAACGTTTAGTTATCTTTCTTCTTCGGCGTTAAACAATAACGCCAAGCATTACAGTTTCTGTAAGAGTTTACATGAACAGGTCGTGGCTTGAAGATTTTCTCACAAGCAGCCCCAGAAAGGAGCGCATGAAAGAAACAAAAAAAAAGTGTTTAGTTACGAAACACTTACGAGCTATGAAATACTCATTTTGAAGTGTTCGTGAGTTCTGGGCCAAACTGAAATCTGGCCTATAATTTTCTAATAACTTAAATTACTTTGGGGTCAAAAACATTAACGTTTCAAAACCGCAAATGATCGCTCTTTTTAAACAGTTCCAGGAAGTAAAAACTCAAACATTATCGTAAATGTTTAAAATATTAGTTCTTCCCTAATTTTTTATTTAAAAAATATTATTTCATTAAAACTTTCTCTTCTTTTCTTTATGTAGACTTCAATTAAATGACTTGTTAATTGAGCCGTTCCGCCTTTTATCTTCAAATTGTATTTTATTTTACAGTCGGTTTTCAATAAGCTTCGTTATCGGATGTCTGGTCAGAATTATGCCTTAAACTTTACATGGGAGAGATTTTTGAGAAAAACTGAGTGTGTTATCGTTTTTGGGTCCACAGTCGAAATCAAACGTGAAATCCAAGCACCCGGTAACTTTAAACGAGGAAAAAAAAAATCCGCCACTCAGTTGAATAGCTCTTGTCATAAACTATCTTTACATTAGAACGAAATGTACATTTCATCGCATCGGTCAGCACAACAAGCGGTTTTCCTTTAATCTTCAAAATCTCCAGTAGCAGTAAACGAGTGAATTAGCTATAGAATTTAGATTTACAAAAATATGATGTCCGCTATACGCATCGCGAAACGTTGGATAAATTGCTTGTATTATACCACCTACAATAATTGAGAAAAGGAAACCAAAGTAGTTGTCATAGCTTCTTTGTGTTCGAGTACAGTTCGTTCACTAGCTCGTTGACTTGGCAAATTTGATGACGTTTGCAAACGCTAAGGCACTCTATGACATAAAAAATATATTATAAGACCCAGGGCAAGGACTAACAAAATTGAAAGAACAATGAGGAAAATCCAGAGTTAAAACTCTTTCTCCCCCATCATCCTAGAAAAGTACTTAAGAGTGGTCGAGATACAGTTACTATTGCTGATACCCAAGCTATTATCGCTAGCTTTTTCAAGCGGCTTCTAGTCACTATAACAGTCTATAGTCAATCCATTTTAGAATGGCCACGTATACCTTTCCCATGCCATCATTGTAAGATGGAAAATAGACCAAATCGTGAGAATGACCGTGGACCATATCGCAACAAATTCCAGCAAACAAACTGTAATGGCGCATTTGAATATATTTATATAGATATTTGCGCCTTATAAGTTTTTGAAATTAAATTAAATTAGTAATTGATAAGAAACTAACAGTCCAACCACAGCAAACCTCCTACTAGAAGATCTGTAACGGCCATACTTGATAGCAAGACATTCGAAGCTCTCTGCAGTTATTTCCTTTGCTTTACTGCTATGATTACAAGTGTTCAAAAGAACTGCAGTTGCAGAGATTATAGATGCGACAGCGGCAAAAACCCAAGGAAAAGTAGTGTGTTCTATAAAATCCCAGAACTGTGGTTCGTGTGGGCATTAAAACATTGACCTGGTTGTGTTCGAAAAGAAGGAAGTGTTCTGTTCTGCTTCGTGTTGGTCCATGATGAATCCTTTTTTAAAAAACTTTTAGTTAGTTCATCTTTTTCTTAGTTATGAGGCCTTGCTTAGATAACTTACACAGCGCGTGTTGTTCATAAAATCCTATAAGAAGGGTGAATGGCGCTAGTATTACAGGAAGTGTCTATATTTAAAAAAACGCAGGTTGTGGTTTGGTGATTTTCTCATATATAAGCGGCCCAAAAAGGAAAATGCAAAATTTCACTTTATCGAATACTGAACGATTTCACGTTGTAAGAAACAAAAATGTTTACTCACGAAGCCCTTCCGAGCTATGAAAAACTCGCTTTAAAGTTCATAAAGTACGGTGTTCGTGAGTTCTGGATCAAACTGAAACTTCGGCGATAATCTACGGCTAAACAAGTGACAGTTAAGGTCAAAACATTAACATATCAAAACCGCAAATGATCACTCTTTTTTTGCGTACTTATAGTTTACATTTTAAAGAGTTGCAGAAAATAGAAATTCAATCATTAGCGTAAATGTGAAATTGATTTCAGGACAATATTCGTGTTTTCCATTCGTTTTCTTAATTTTTTTTATTAAAAATTTATTTTACAATTTTTATAACTTTTTCTTGTATATTTTCTTTATAGAGACTAGAGTTAAACGACCTTATTTCCTAATAAAGCCATTCCGCCTTTTATCTTCGAGTTGTATTTTATTTTACACTCGGTTTTCAACAAACTTCATTTTCAGATGTTTGATCACAATTATGCCTTATAATTTTTGCATAAGAGAGACACTTTTAAATCTCTCCTCCGTGAAAACATTCTCATCGCAACAAATTCACCACAAACACCAAAAATAGAGATGACCGACATTTACTAATTTTTCCATTCGCTGGTTTTTAGGGGTGAAGAGAAATGCATGTCTTTAACTTTATAACAAATGAAAAGTAGACAAAAACCGCATGTTTTATCGTTTTCGGGTTGACAATCGACCGGCAAATATTTAAAACATGTGAATGTAAATGAAATGTAAGTTATACTCAAACGACGCCAATATTCCAAACAATATTCCAATATTCCTAACGAGCGCTTTTATACCCGCGTGGGGACGCCGAAATATCTCATTACAAAACCAATAGAAAATCAGGTAAACATTGTAACTACGCTAGTAACTAGGAGCAAAGCATGAAAATCACGAAATCAATATTGTTCTTTATGTCTTGTCCTTTACACCGATTCTATGAGTCATTATTTTGAGGACTGTTAGAGAGAAACCTTGCATACAGCTATCCAGAAGGACTGAAACTGCTGATATGAAACTGGTTTTTACTATTCTACCGATTTTTATCGCGCTCGGCAAAGGTACGGGGTAAATCACAGGGACACCCAACGAGAATATAGTTCAAAACCACTTAAACATAGCATTGTTAAACGTATTTTAGTATTTAAACGGTAGATATTGGCATATTTTTATCCCCTAAAAATGTTTCATCTGCTCGGATTTCCTAGCTGAAAGTCTAGTGATCCGTAAATTATAGGGATCAAAACTTACCTTTTCGAAAATTTCAGCCAGGTAAAAGGCTCTCTAAAATTCTAGGTGATCTTTTTAGGGTAAAAATCAGTTAAAAATGGGCAATTATACCATTTTTTAGATGTTCAAAAATTCTTATAGGAGAGGCAGGCAAGCAAGAAATTTTACAACAAATGTTCCGAAAATTCTAGATCTCAAATCGTCTTCCGAACAGATATTTTCCGAAAATTGACTTTGGGTGCCCCTGAAATCAGTTCTGCGGTCTACAAATCTTGCGGCCGCTTCAGTATCGGTAATTTCACCTGGCCGATCCAGGGGGCCGATTATATCGCTTGACACCGAAGGAGCCTTTATTCCGAGAAACTTCTGTTTCAATAGAGTACTCGACTGAAAACATTTTTTTTTTCCTATGACTTCTGAAGTTATTTCCATTCTGTTTTTTCGCTATCTTGGATGTAACCGAACAAAGTTGTATATTGAATGTCGTATTCATGTTTCGGGAGCGTTTTCATTTTTACGTTTATACTGTACGTTTACGTTTATTGAGATAATCAACAAAAGCATAGCCATCACGTATTTTACTTTGGTCCTGCTCAAAAAGTCATTAATATCCGCGTTAAGTAAAGCTATGAACGTAAGGATAATATGACATAATTATTGATAACCTGATTATGGTAAATTCTGGCTTCAACGAATCCTACATTTGACTGATACAAGCTTCAGATAAAGTCCCTTCCTCAAGACTTTTACAAGTTTTCGGAAGAAATTAAATAGCATAACGTATTGGTAAAAGGGGGCTTTTTAGAGTACAAGCATCTACTGATTTACAGTGATTTATTGACTCTTCATTTGTCGCTCTTCTTCTTGAGAACTGAGCGCTAAACTGATTGAATAGTTGCTGTTTTTGAGGCGACCGAAAAACTGAGGTTAATTCAACTTCATGTAACAAGTTTCATCTGTTCAGATAAGTGGAATCGTGAGTAAATCGTGAGTATTCAACGGAAGTTATTAGACCTTTCAAAACATTATTTGCAAAATAAATCACGGACAACTATTAAACCTAACTCAAATGCCTTGTGCACATGTGGCCGTTAACCACCATTCAAGGGCGTTGTAAAGACTTTGATATTAAATAAAAATTCACTGGCCGTGAATTAGCTATTTTCACCAAGTTTTACTGAAAAACGGTGAAATGTTCTCTTTTTCTAACAGTTCAGTCAAAAGATAAATTCAAGCCAGGTGTCACTTATGCGGCATTGTTGTCCACTCTACTAAGTATTGAACACATACTAAAATTTGGAAAGTAACTTCAGGCAAAACTTACATTTTGACTCCAATTGGTTAGTAAGAGTTTTCTGATTTTGTTAAGGGTTTAAAGGGTAAAATAGCCAAGCATATCAACAACGGGTAACAGAACCTCTCCTTCGACTAACCAGCTCTAGCCAAAAAACCAACACCCACAATGACTACCACACAGGTTGTCGAAACGTCAGTCACTGTCAACAGCAATAACAGTCCTATTCAGGACTACGTTCACCCGGACGATCAAACTCAACCTACCCGCTAATTAAATAGCTTAACTGTGGACACTATGGTGAGCTGACTTTCTGATCGTGTACTAAACATAAGAGAAACCTTAGGGATAACTCCAACAGTGTTCATAGAAATAATCATCTTTTTTTCACTGAGAAGGTCCTTGTCCCAGTGGCTGGACGTATTTTAAAGGCTACGGTTACTTGGTGAGCAACTCCATCAAGACTTAGTACCAGGCCCAAGAATTCTGCAAAGAACTGGGAGGAGATCTGGTGAAGATCAGCAGTGAAGAAGAAAACGAGTTTGTACTGAAGCTGGTTAACAAGCGCGCTCCGTCATTGCGTCAGGTTTGGCTGGCACTGGAGTGAAACCCGCAAAGAAAAGCGTTTATCTGGGCTGACAACTCAATTCCGACATTCAAGAAATGGTTTGCAGGTGAGCCGAATGGAAATGCTCATGAACCGTGCAGCAATTTTTGGTCCAGGCAAAATCCCCCTGGAATAAATGGACACTGGAATGACCTATCCTGTTGGAATCAAAATGTCCCTTGTGGTATTGTCTACAAGAGGCTGCCTTAGGCTTGACCGGCATCAAAGCCGAAAGTATAGTGATTCAACTGAGGTAACTCATTAGAGACGAACCAAAACGCATTACAGCTAAGAATCAAGACGGCACTTACCAGGAGCGTAGATGTAATGTCAGCTTGAAAATAAAACATCAATCCTAGCTGTTTGTTTTCTATTTTCTTTCACTGCTATGCATGTAAGCATCACTGCCAGGATTAAATTAAAAAAAAACTAAACATTTGTGGAGGTGTCTCTTTTGAATCTATTTGGATTTTTTGCCTTTTTAAAAACATTCTTTTCACCAAAATCCGAAATTTTCACCCCAAAGCGAGACGACGAGCATCCCCGCCCCTTTCATATGGGAATCCCCCACCCCCCACTCCCCGAAAAAAATCTTCTTCATATTCAAGGCTTCACTCTTTCAAAAGTTATAAAACAGAGGTTGGAGCAACTAGAAATTATCGATTTGTTGTCGCTGGAGATTTTCCAGAGGTACTCACAGTTTTGCAAATTAACTCTACCCGCCTCTCCCAAACGTTTCGCGCGCGTGACTTTTATCAGTAAGGGACTGTGCAATAATTATCAGAAGGAGGGGGGGAGGGGCTGAAAAACCAGATGAAAATGTGAATTTTATATATGTATAAAAATGTCATCACATTTTAAACATGTTACCTGATTTTCCTTGCAAAACAATTGATTTGTGTCATAAGATTTCTCTTATCCTATAGTATCCATTACAAGGCCAAACTCAATTAACTAAAAACGTAACTTGTCCCAAACAAACCATTTGTACTTAGATACTGTCGTTTAAGACAGTTGTAAGTTCATTCACCCTCAGGTGCAGAAGTCCCAAACAATCTCCTGGGCTTCCCTGGCGAAACAGTTTGCCCTGCAGAGGTCGCGCAAATGTAGAGTTTCACAATCAACTGTTTCCAGTTGGAGAATCCCAAATATGTCCGGCTCAAAGTCCCTTTGCAAGGGGGACTCCTCCCAGGGTATGGAAAACAGGGCACGCTCTTTTTCTTCTGTTTTCACAAGCTGTGAGCTTCCTCTTTTCCCCTTTTCACCTTCTCTGCTCTTTCCTTTTTCTTGCTTCAGATGATGTGGACTTGGTGCCAATTTGATATGACGCCTTATATTTATAGTGTCTTTTCTCATTGTTGAAATTGCAAAGGCAATTTAGGCCAGTCTTAGGTTTGCCACCCTCCTTTGATAGGCTGTCATCATGTTTAGTTATGTTTTCTGTGATGACATGAAGCTTATATGCGATTCGCCTCCCTCTCGGCATAGCCTTATGTTGCTGTCATCATGGGGTTTTGGCTTGCACTCCTCACGGAGAAACCTTGCAGCACAAGCAGGGTTGAAATTTTGAATGATATGAAAATCATATATGTGAATCGCGGAGTGAAGAATTAAATGAAGGATGATCATCTTTATATACGCAACTTTTGCAGTTCCGAAAAGAAAGCCCGAAAAAAAGAAAAAAAAAGCGTCTGAAGTTTTTCGGGCTTTCTTTTTGCAACTGCAAAAGTTGCGTATAAAACTGCGACGATTATCCTTCATTTATTTACAATCATAATTCTCGCATCACCGACAAATTGACCAAAGATGAAGGACAGGCATTACGCAACCTCAAGAAGCGACAAGGCATAATAATCAAACCAGCTGAGAAAGGCTCGGGAACGTTTGTTTTGGACAAATCCTGCGGTACCTAGACGAATGCAACCGACAGTTAAATGACAAAAAATTCTACAGACAACTAGACGGGGACATTACTGACACTATTCAAGAGCGTGTGACGGTTTACATTGAACGTATGTTTAACGACGGTTACATTGACGAAAAGCCTAAAAAGTACCTGGTACAAGCATACGTGAAACCAGGACGTTTTTACATACTACCTAAAATACATAAAACGGGAAATCCTGGACGCCCCTTAGTTTCATCTAACAGCCACCCTACTGAACGCATCTCACAATTTGTCGACTACCACATTAACCCTCCCGTCTCTACCTTGGATTCACACTTTAAAGACACTACTGACTTCCTTAATAAACTTTCTAACCTCGGTAACCTACCTACCTAACCTACCCTATTCTTGTAACTCTTGATGTGTCATTGCTTTCCACCAACATTCCACACAATCAAAGAATTGATGCATGCCGTTATTTTCTTGATACCCGCCCCAACAAACACATCCCCACAGAGACACTATGTGATCTCTTACGCATGATTCTCACCATGAATAATTTCATATTTAACCAACAGCATTACAGTCGAACCCCGCTATTTCGAACTCGGTTAATTCGAAGTCCCTGCTATTTCGAAGGAAGATCGAATTCCTTTGGATTTACCTTTATGTTTTCAGTCATTTACTATCAGCTATTTCGAACTCGGTTATTTCGAATTCCCCTCTATTTCGAACTCATCGTTCTTTCCCAACACCTTAAATCAACCCCGTTATTTCGAACTTGTCAAAAACAGAGTACGAACATAAGAGCACAGCTGGAAACGTATTGCATTTTATTTGAGCTCGAACAGAACATTCAAAGATTTTTCACTGCAACAGCATCTGCTGATTTATCCGACATATAATTACTGTATTTTTATTTAATCAGTGTCTTTCTTCGTACTGTACTGTATTTTATTAAAAAATGATTCATTGTTACGAATTTTACGCTTCCCCGGTTATTTCGAAACCCCGCTATTTCGAACTTTTTTCCATTTCCCTTGGGACTTCGAAATAGCGGGGTTCAACTGTATCTTCAAATCCAAGGTACTGCTATGGGTACTAAAATGGCTCCTTCTTTTGCTAACCTTTTTCTTGGTATGTTCGAAACCAACGCTCTCACTAACGCCCCTTGGCAGCCTCACACATGGTGGAGATATATCGATGATATTTTCACGATCTGGACAGAAGGTTCGGATCGTTTGAAAATATTCGTCGATTATCTCAGTAACATTCATCCCACTATTAAGGTCACAAGCTCGCACTCACTTACTAACGTTCCTTTTCTAGACGTCATGGTGCCTCTACATAACGGTATAATTGAAACTGATCTATTTAGTAAACCCACGGATGAACATCAGCACCTTCTCAGCTCATCATGCCATCCTCACCAAACTAAGAAAGCCATTCCGTTCAGCTTAGCCCTCCGCCTCCGCCGTATCTGCTCTACAGACGCTAAGTTTAAACATCGCTTTAATGAACTTATATAAAACATATCTCCTTGGTCGTGGTTATAATAACAACAACTTTATTGACTTTATCTTCGACATGAAGATTTCAAAAATGTACCAAAACAATAACAAATGAAAAAAGTAAAATAAAAGTTAAGCAAGAAAGAAGGGAACAATTGAATATTATCATAAAAGAAAAAAATAATAATATCATAATAATAATAATAATAATAATAATAATAATAATAATTTCCTAGAAGAACAGTTCCTACGCGCTGCTAGTATTTCTCGTACTAACGCGTTGCAGACTAAACCTTAAGTTTCTAACGATGTTGTACCATTTGTTGTCACATATAACCCAGCACTTCCACGCATTTCTAATATCCTACGCAAACATTTTAACATCTGACACTCCTCTAACCGCTGCAAAGACGTCTTTAAGCAACCGCCTTTTGTTGCTTACAGACGTAGCTCTAATCTTCGTGACCTTTTAGTTAAAGCACAATTACCCGTTATCTCCACCAATCATTTTCCGTCAGGCTCCTTCCGCTGTGGACAGAATTGTGCCAGTTGTCCATACATTACTAACGACCTCACAAGATATACCTTTTACGCTACAGGTGAAACACGCTCTATCCCTTCTCACATTACTTGTAACACTAAAAATGTGATCTAAATGGTTCAATGTAACCGTTGTAATTTACAATACAGGGTGTCCCAAAAGTTCGTTCGTCTACTTTATAAGTCTGTAACGCAGTACGATCGGACTTGATCAGCATATAATTTAAACAAAAGTTGTGACTTTCAATCTAATTTAATATTTCATACTTCTTGTGCTATCTTTTGACTCGAAATTTGGTTCGTGTAATTTCGCGCCAAGGGTGCGCTGTACGAGTAAATTTTCCCGCCATATATTTTTTTATTTTGTAACCCGAAATGCTCGAACTCCTTACTTGTTTTTGTGAATATCCTAAAAGATAAACCCTCTCAACGAAAAAACACTCAGCTACGTGGGAGCAGAAATATGTATTTCTATCTACTGATTTTATATCAGTTAAAGAAATTCGTAAAAAAGAAATGGAAAAATCCGAATGTTGGGTGGTAAGATGGAGAAACTAATTAAAGTTTTACAGACAATAAACGAGGGGGAAGACCGAAAGTCCTGAATAAAACTGCTAAAATAGTTTTAAAGAAGGCTAAGTACAAAAGAGGAAACCCAACGAGATAGCTCTTATAACAGTTAGCAAGTTAAGTCTGAAGCAGGTTCAGGAAAAGCAAAGTTTGGAGACCCTTGAGATGGCAAAAAAACTTTACTTCCGGCCAGAGCGGTCCGCCAAGCAACGTGCAACTCGTCTCAAATTTGTAAAGAAGAGCCAAAGCCTTACTGTGGAAAGCGGCCGGAATGATCATCTTTTCTTGGATCAATGCCCAAAATATATTGTTTTCGCTGCCTAATCTTGTTTGGTGGTCGAAGTGACTCCTGCATACTAGGCGATAAAAAAAGCTCAAAATGAATCATCTAGGGCTCTACATGCTACATGGCTTATCTCACTTAATGCCGCAACGGCTGCAGGGTGTGATAAAAAACAAAGGGGGCATGCCGGTAACTGTACCTCTGAACACAAATACTCCACAGAGTAATAATTATATTTTAGAAATTTCATGTAAAAATAAAATTTTTGATCAAAAGTTATAGCGCATGAAATTAGGGCAACGAACTTTGGGGACACCCTGTATATAGGTGAAACTAAGCGACGTCTCAAGGACAGGTTTAACGAACATAGACGTGCAGTCGACAAAACTAACATTAAATCTAAACCCACCACTGTTTCTGAACACTTTCTCTCTCACTGTAACCATTCTCATACTGACATGCAGTTAATCCCACTAGAGAAAATTCTTTCTTCACGTGACTCAGTTCGTAAGGCCACTAAAGGCCATGACTCTTGAACCTCGTGGCCTGAACCGCCGTGACGAATCATTGTAATCCATATAGTATTTTTTTCCTTTCCAGTTTTTACGTTGTACGTCATTTCCACCTCTCCCCTTTAAACACTTTTTATTGCGACATTCTCCATCTCTATAATATTGTGATTCCTACATAGGTTCAGTAACATCTGTAAACCTGAAGAAGGCTGTTATGGCCAGCCGAAATATTGTTATAAAAAAACAATACACGTTGTTTTAAATCAGCTTTGCAGTAGTCTTTGAACTTCTCGTTCTTGGTTCTTTATATTTTGGCTGATTAGATCTCTTTTCTAGAGATCCAACGTTTACAACTAGCAGGATCTTCGTCCACGGTTTTTGCAGTTAATTTAATCCTTTATTAATGAAACGCGAGACGATAATAACCGGCGCGTGCGCGTGACCACATAAAGCATTGTGAAATCAACAACGGTTAAAGCGTCGACTTGAACATAGTTTTCGCATTGTAAAACAACTTCCATTTCACTTCACACCACAGCAGATTCAAGAATTAAACTAAAAAGGTAAAATTTCATCTCTTATGGTCGCTTATGGTCATCAACCGGAAAGGCTTCAAGAACTTCTTTGTTGTTCGAGACTATCTCATGTAATCTGAGACAAGCCTTGCTACAAATTGCTTGACTGGCCTTGATTAACTGGATGGCTTCGGGTAACGTTGATACAGATTTTAGTCCATCATCTACGTAGAAGTCCTTGCGTATGAACGCTGCAGCATCTGTACCGAACTCTTCTTCGCCATCGTCAGCTGCTTGCCTAAGCCTAAAGTTCGCGCAACCTGGGGAACTGCTGGCACCAAACAGGTGAACTTTCATACGATAGTCGGTTACTTCCTTTGATGAGTGGGTCCCCATCCAACCACCAAAGAAAACGTAACAGATCTCCGTGTTCTTCGGCAAACCACGAACTGATAGAACATGGTCTTGATGTCCGTCATAAATGCAACGCTTTCCTTGCGAAAACGAAACAAGATAACCAACAGATCGTTCATAACGTCAGGACCTTGCAGCAAGTAGTCATTGAGGATGACTCCGTGAAACTGGGCCGAACAGTCAAACACCACCCTTATCTGCCCTGGTTTCTTTGGATGGCAGACACCTGTATGCGGGACGTAGTTGACTTTATCGTCTTGAACCTTAAGACGATCTACAGTAACTTGCTCTGCACATTGTAAAATTATGTCCTTCATAAAGGTCTGGTAGTCTGCAAAGAACTTCGGATTCTTCTTGAATCTGGCATTCAGCTGGTTCCACCTCTTTACAGCAAGCTGGCGGTTGTTGGGAAGACACACACCGTCTGATTTCAACGGAAGTGGCACCACGTAACGTCCATCTGATTGTTTCTTTACTCCGTGCTCAAGAATCCTTACAAATCTCTCATCTTCCATAGAATAAGGTTTGTACTTAGGACTTGTCTCAACAAAGTCAGTTTGTAACACACGGAGAACTTTCTCTGGGCCAATAATCTCTTTAGCCTTCGTGGTCAATGCAAACTAGCTACGAATTTCTGAAGCTGCAACTCTATTACACACACCCTTGTCTGTGTTTTCAACATCACTTGACTTGCAGACTCTTCCAATAACTCCCCAACCAAGTAGAGTCCTCTGAGCGTACGGCTTGTCATCTTCACCAGCAACTATTTCCCTTGGTCAGATAGCTCTTGAGCAGTTGTTTCCAATCAGGATAGAAATTTCTGCATCTGGGTGGTACGGTATCAACGTATCGGCGATGGGCTTCAGATGTTGCCATTCCCTAGCCACTGCAGGTTTTGGAATCTGCGACCGGTTAGCTGAAACAAGTTCGCGGGTGAAGGCCACTGGCATCTTCACCACGCGTTCTCTATGGTAGTCCAGAATCTCTATCCCAGATATCTTTTTAGTTTTAACACGGGCATTTTGCTGCTGCATTGTTGTCAACAGAAGCTCATTTGATGGGCCTTGCAGGTTGAACCGTTCACAAAGAGTCTCAGACACAAAACTGACATTTGAATGATCGTAGAGGACTGCATACTGCAAGATTTCCTTCTCTGGCTCTCCCACTGGCCTGATCCACACTGGTACTATCATGGTGTGATAAAATCCACCGCTTTGTTCAGGAATTAGACATACACTCATACAATTTGAGATGGCAGCATTGTCTTGTGTTGGTTCCTTGTGAAGGCATGTGGGATGTGTTCCTGAGCATGTTTTAATTTTGCATTTCAACCTCTCCTTGCAGTTCGCTACCTGATGACTCTTACTGGTTGCACAACCCATACACAAACGTTCGCGGTTTCTCCTTTCACTGAAAGGCTTTCTACAGAAATCAGTGCAATCATCTAACTTGTGCTTTGCACCACAAAACAGACACTTCGTCAAACCATTTGGACCAGGGTCTTTTGATTTACTAGAATTAGTGGGGTCTTATTTACCGTTACCACCACTCTTAGCTGATATAGAAAGAGAACTACCCTTCTCGTTATCTGGTTTCGGCTTTGGATTTCTGTTAAATCTAGGACTACTTGATGCAGCGAGGCCTTCTAACTCTGGGATGTTTGCCTTCTCTGCTGCTTCTCTGATGAAATCCGCAAACTTAAGAAAGGTAGGGTAACTTGCTTCACCATGGGTATGTCTCCATTGTTTAATTGCATCTCTCCACTTGGTTTCAAGGTAGTAGGGTAACTTGGATAGTAACTTCACATCCTCCTTTGCATAGTCCAGTACAGAAAGACCTGGAATGGTGTTCTTTGCTTCTAATACCTTGTCTAACATATCTGAGAACTCCCTTAAGGCACTGGCATCCTTGGGTCCTATCTTAGGCCACTTGTCCAACTTGTTAATAAATGCTGTACTCACAACATTACAGTTTCCATACCTTTCCTGCAATACAGACCTGGCTTTCTGATAAGCATCTTCTGTCCCAATCAGGAGATAATGTTCCACAACTTGCTTTGGCTATCCAGTTACATAATGATTCAATATATTCAACTTGATGTCTGCTGTCAGTGGTCTCGAATCAACTAGAGCATTAAAGGCACTCTTCCACGCAGGATTTTGCAGGGGGTATCCTTCAAATACTGGAATGGTCAGTTTGGAAGTTGTCCAGAAACAAACAGTTCTTTGCTCACAGTACTTTGTTCTAAGTTAGCTTCTGTTAACTTGTCCATACACCTTTCTAATGATGAAGCAACTTTTTCCCACCCTTCACAGAAGGAGTTAGCTTGACCTTGAGGATGAACAAACTGGTAACTTGAAGGGGAATTCATAACTGTTGACATAATTGGTGATGGACCACTTATGGAGTTAATTACTACAGGATCAGTTTTTGGCGACGAAAAAGCTTGTGTACAAGCTGTTTCTGTTTGAAAAGGAAGAGCAAGTCCAGGTTCAAAATGACGAACAGTAAATACTGACTGTGTTACGGCTCCCGGTAAGAACGATGGAGCAGAAGCCCGCAAACCACATGTTGTAGTCTTTGGTATAAATGTTGTTGTCAAAACAGGTGTTTGGGATACATGTACTTGGGACTGAACTTATGTATTAGTCTCATTTGCACAGGTAGTTACTGTTAGAGATTGCAAGAATCTTTTCACTCCTTCACCTTTACTCTCACTAGGAAGATTGACTAGATATTCTTCAAGGGAGGGTGTTTGTTCATTATCAATCTCTTTGCATACTCTTAACTTGGCTCTACTAAGTTCAAGTTCCCTCTTAAGTTTGAATTCTTCCAGTTTCTGCTCCTGTTTTAACCTTTCTATTTCTAGGGCCTTTTCTTGTTCCACATAGGCTAGCTTCACCTTCAAAGCAGCTTCTTCCTGTAGAAGCTTATATTTATCTACTTTAGTTGAAAGTACACTGTCTGAACTTGATTTTGACTTGTCACTTTTGGTTGTTTTACTCCACTTTGAACCCTTAGAAATGACAGAATTAGACTCCAAAACTGTTTGTTCCAAATACTTTATCTCATCCCTCACATCCCTTTCAAAATCAGACCACTCCCCACAAACTGGCTCTCAGATGTTCCTGACTTTCGCTAACTCATCGTCTTGAACTGTTTCCAAAATGTTATTATATGCATCCACAAATTCATTCCACAGAACCTGTGCCTTACTAAGCTGTTGCTTCCACTTTGATAATTCGTTACACAATTTCTCCGAAACAACAGTGTTTTTCTCAGTGTTCCCGTAAAACTTGACCTTTTATTCTTGAAAGAGTTCAACTTTAAATCGTTTTGATAGGATTGATCCTTTCGGTAAGCTTCCTCATACGAACTTCCGACAAATGCTGTTCATTTTCCACAAGGAAAAATCCTTTGTTTTCGGCATTCTCCGATAGATCACAGAGGTCATGGGTCGTTGGAACATTCCTTTCAAGACGGTACCTTATCATGTAATGTTTTGTCCAATCAGAGAAAAGCGGAAAGGTTTCGTGTCTTGTTCAACGTGCAACGTTTATACCGCCACCGAAATGATCCCCACCATCGAAATGATCTTCGCCACCGAAATGACCCCCAATCACCACCGAAATGATACCGGCGGTCACGACCGAAATGATCTCCGGAATATCGGGAATGGAATTAAGAGGACTACAAAAACCGGACAACAATTTAGTGCGTGCTTTTTATATTGCATCTTTTTTACGGTGTGTAATTTACCTTTTACCCCACCTTATTTTTCAGTAGTCTTTTTTTTGGTTTAACGCTAGACAATACTTGTTCAAAAGATGCAATTCACTTATGTCTTCTATTTCTTCGAATTTTTTTTACATTTTTGCAAGAAAATCTTCTTAATAAAATTGTGTTAAAGCAAAATAAGTCAAATCTTGCAATCAGGTTATGTCTTTCTGATGATGTTATGACAACAGTGATGACGTCAGTTACAGGCTCACATTACAACACGTGCTTTCCAATTAGTTTCGGTACTTGCACTAGCTGCTGTAGCTGTCATCTCAAATCATTAACATCATGAAAATTATTCTGTTATTCACAATTATTTTTCTGCTCCTGGCTGCCTTTGCTATCATAACAAGTGGATCAGGAGAACAAGAGCAAAAAGAGGTATGTTTTTTTTTTATGTTTTGTTATCACGTTATATGATAAACCTGTTCCCTGTTCAAGGCGAATTTGTCTAGTTCCTTAAAAAAATGTTAAAATTTTGAAAATAAAATCAGGGTATAGAACTGTTATCAGTCTAATTGCTTTCTCTCTTTTCCTCTGTTTAGAATCGTGTTTGCATGAATAAACGAACAATTTAGAATAGACAGCAAAGTCCCAAGTCCATTTAAGCCAAGGTTCCTAAAATTTATGACGGGATCATTACGATTGCGAATCGGTATCATTTCGGTGGTGATTGGGGGTCATTTCGGTGGCGGAGATCATTTCGATGGTGGGGATCATTTCGGTGGCGGTACAACGTTGCGTGCTGTTCATATATTCACGCACACCGAAGCAGTAGCTGTCCATTTCACCGTCTGTAGATTCTGCACGGAAGAGTTAAATTATTTAGTCTGTCTGTTTTAAGGGTAAAATCTGGCTTCACTTATTTTTATTTGCGAAGATGTTCAAGAGTGGATGAAGAACGAGGGGTATTCAGGCATTTGCCGGTCATTTTTATGGTAAGGTATAGTAATAGCCTGTCCTAACTAAACAATATGTTCTGCTTTTAAAAGAAAAAAACTCTCATATACTGTGCCAGCAACCTAGAATTCGTAAAACGGTGTTCTGATACATCTTTCTGTTGATTCACCCATCTAACAAAAGTTTCCAACAGAAAATGCACTTTTGGCGCGAAACAACGGGACACGTTGACGTTTTCACTTCGAATTATTTTAAGGCCTGAAAGTTTAGCTTTAAAAACTTTAATTTTCCTTTCTTAACTCTTTACTTTTTAACTCCCAAAGCTGAACAGGTTGATGGTGAAGCACTGTTGCGCATGAATGAGGAGACCCTGAAGACCCTCGTGCCCCCTGCTGGCGTTCTCGCTAAGCTTCTTCACAAGGTACGAAAACTTGACTTGATAAAGGCACGGAAGTTCGGATAATTCACGAAGTGACTACCGAAGCGCGACCTGTACATGTACATGAAGCTGTTAATGCTGAAACAGTTGGCGAGGCATCTAGCGCCCCAAAAGTTGATAAAAAGAGGTGAGAATCTATTTACACTTAAAAAGGACTAGTGACTGTCACAAAAATTATTTCATTTTATATGAAAACGGCTAGGGGAGCAGAAGGAATTTAGAAATTTTGTCCATGAGATAGTATATCGTAAGCTTTTTATTTTTCCTGAAATCAGGTCAATTATGTAAAATCCAAACTACAGTAAAACCCCGCGCATAAGAACCTGGATTTTTTGATTTAGCCTTAACAGGTTCTTATATAAATGGTACTTAAAACAAATTTAGACTACCAAGGTTCTTAAAATAGGTTCTTATATATTCATATGAATTTCATTTAAATATATAATAAATATCATCTCATAATACAATATAAATCATTTATACTATACAGTAATGCCTAAAGGCATTAGTGCAGGTATGTCCTTAACAAATGATAACAAACAAACTCATCGTCAGTTCTCTGAAATGCCATTTCAAAGTTGATACACTTTTCCAGAAACTGATAAGAACCTAACTTAAAATTTTAGCCTTAATAGGTTCTTATGTGGAGGGGGCTTAAAATGAAAATTTTAGCCTAACAGGTTCTTAAAACGCAGGTTCTTATACGCGGGGTTTTACTGTATAACAAAAGAGACAATATTATATATAGGGAATTTACTAGCAATCAAAAGCTTACAACATAGACAAGTTAATACTGACGTATTTCTTAGGTAGAGTGGGTGGGTAATTAGGTTCCTTGGAAGAAGGAAGACTCAGTTACAATGCATTAGTCAACCTATACGGAGCGGGTAGGAGAGAATCCTGGGAACGAGGTTGTGGATAAGTAAGCAAATTCTAAACACATCATTACCTATTTCATGTTACAGCTACACAATTTGCCAATGTGTGCTGTCCATATACAATGTAAAAGAACGTATAAACATTTTCAATCATTCACAAGAGATACCTGTAATGAAAAATATTATTTTCAGCTATCCTATCTATTTTACCAATGATACTTCAATACTGTCTTTTTCGATAAAAGTGCCTGAGACCTATAAACTGTGAAGTTCTGTTCAGTGACATAATAATCGAAGCTGCAAAACGTATTATTAAAATATGTCTATAATGTTCTCAATTATATATATTCCCATTACCTTTTTCTTTCAATTCATCATGTTGTGGGTTTCCATAGCTATGTAAAGTTGGATTTTCTGCTTTTAACTAGCTCCAAAGTTGAGAGGCCAGCCAGCTCATTACTTGGAACATGATGAATTGACAGCTGGTAATAATTATAGTTATCTAAAATTATCAGAAAAACTTAAGAAGGATAGAAAAACAAAAAAGAAAGAAAGGACGGAAGAAAGACTAAGAAAAAGGAAATACACTCACAGTAATGCTTCCACCCCCTTTGAACAAATTTTTATTATTTGCGGCATTTTTTTCAGTTGGAAAAGATCTGATGAGGCAAAAAGGCGTCAGAGACTAGCTCGAAATAAACGAAAAAGGCCTGAAATAAAACAAATAAAGAAAAACGCCCATGAAAAACTAGTTCAAGGAAAAAAGAAAAGACAGACAATCGAAGAAAAACTGTCTTCTACCAAAAAATTTACCTGTAAATTTACCTGACTTTGGTGTGCACATAGCTGCAATGGGCTTTACACATATTCAGTGTCATCATTACCCCTTTTTAGTGTAACAAGAACACCAGAACAGTATAAAGGAGACATATTTTTGGTGTATTTTAACACCAAAATTGGTTTACGTTAACCCAATTTTGGTCTTACCAAACACCAAAATATAGAAAATATACACCAAGTCAGTATTGCTGTTTTTAAACGCATTCAGGATCGTATGTAGGTCATATTTACACCATTTTGGTGTAAATATACACGACAGTAGTGTTAACTGAACATCTGTTTGGTGTTCAGACAGCTGCAAAAATTTACACTCTTTTAACACCTCGATTTTGCTTTGTTTATCCATTTTTATCTGTTATCCTATAATTAACATTACCACGTATACTACGACGGGAAAATTTGGTTTCAAATGGAAGTCGTTGGACACTATATTTTCAATGTATTAGTCTTAGTACTGAAAGTAAATACTTACGAACAGTAATTGCTAGTGAAACATTAATATGCAAAATGATTTTATGTCAAGTTTAATACTCAAAGTTGTCGAGTAGAGTATACATATATGTGATAGGGGAAAAGTAATCACCAAGTCATCACCAAAAAATTGAAGGTTTTTGGCAAAAGCTATTACGTCCTGCCATGTTTAGTTTGTAAAATGTTACCGTAATGTGTCCAAGTTATTGAAGATTTTCACTATCATTGAACGTTATGCACCTAATCCACATATGAATTTTGCTGTTTCGTAGTCATGTTTACTTCTTCCACCATAACTTGTTTTAGCTTGTTTAAGGGGGTGTTATGATCATATACAAATTATGAGTCATTATTTTGAGGACTGTTAGAGAGAAACCTCGCATACAGATATCCAGAAGGACTGAAACTGCTGATATGAAACTGGTTTTTACTATTCTACCGATTTTTATCGCCCTCGGCACAGGTACACTTTAAATCATTTCTGCGGTCTATAAATCTTGCGGCCGCTTTAGTCTCGTAATTTCACCGGACCGATTGTATATCGCTGGACACCGAAGGGGCCTTTATTCCAAGAAACGTCAGTTTCAATTGAGCACTCGACTGAAAACACCTTTTTTCCTATGACATCTGAAGTTATTTCCATTTTGTTTTTTCGTTATTATGAACGTAACCGAACAAAGTGGTATTCATGAATGTCTTATTCATGTTTCGGGAGCGTTTTTGTTTTTACGTTTATACGTTTACGTTTATTGAAATAATAGGTAAAGCTATGAACATAAGGATAATATGACACAATAACGATAATGCATAATTATGGTAAATTCCGGCTTCAACGAATCCTATACACTTCAGTTTAAAAGTCCCTTCTCCAGGACTTTTCCAAGTTTCCGGAAGAAATAACATAACGTATTATTAAAAGGAGGCTTTTTAAAGCACGAGCATCTATTTACAGTGATTTATTGATAATTCATTCGTCGCTCCTCTTCTTGAGAACTGAGCGTTAAACTGAATTAACAGTTGCTGTTTTTGAGGCGACCGAAAAACTGAGGTTAATCCAACTTCATGTCACAAGTTTCATCTGTTCAGATAAGTGGAATCCTGAGTAAATCGTGAGTATTCAACAGAAGTTATTAGACCTTTCAAGACATCATTTGACATTAAATTGAAATCGACATCCTCTTCTATAAAGTTCATGTATTCTTCTGCATTTGGGCCCGTCCATTCTTCAACTATTAGTGCTCGAAGAGCACTCGCAAGTTCGGTGATTGCCATGTCGGCAGACAATCCCATACTATTTAGGTGGTTTACTATGTCTGCATGTGGACTAGTTGCTGTCAGTAAATTTGACACATGGAAAGCAACTGATGAGAAGAAACAGTCACCGTCTCCTGCAACAGGGGCAATACTTAGACCAAACCCTCCGCTCGAACATGTCCAGTCAAAGTTTCATTGATTTGAGCAGGGTTATGCTCTAAAGAGTTCTCACTTGATCTAATAACGTCTTTCTGTTTCATTAACGAAACGTTGTTTAGTCCAATTGAGGATGGTAGTCGACTTTTCGATAAATATCTCGTTGCTCCAAGGCTCTTTAACCCTTCATAAACTTCATAAACGTTTATGGCATCTAGAGCAATTTGCAAAGGAGTATCGTGTGTCGAGCTATAGAGACGGTCTTCTGAAGAAGTTGAGTTTACAAAACTTTTTACTATGTCTTTAACATAATCAATGGTTGAAGGTGTTAGTCATTTGGGTTGATTCGTTTTTTCCACTTTTTAGGTCTAACATAGCTGTCGAGCCATTCAAAATCGAAACATTTGTTGGCAATCCAAAGGTCTCCACAAAAAGGTTGCTTTCCTGTAATCTAGGACAACAAAGTTTTGATGCCAGCAAACTCTTGTCGACATTATTGATCCGGAAAAATAACCTGCAGCATCGCTGGTAGGCTAGGTCGAGTCCAGTTCTGTTTGTATGCAAAACGGCATTCAGGTAACGATGGATCCTTTCTTTGTCAGAGGTTGAACACTGAACCGGAATGCCGCTTAGACATCCTCTCTCGATATGTGTTTTTCTGGTTTGTAAAGCCTTCCTTCCTTCTGCGTTCAATATAATATTTCCATTCCATCTTTTAGTTAACCATTTCAATTCAAACCCTGCCAAGTTCTTTAGCATTTTCTCCTTATCAGCAGTGGGTTGGTTACGTTTTTCGCCTAAATCCGATGGGCGACGGAAAACTAGGCCATATTCTTTGGCAATATCACTGCCAATTCTAGCGCCAACTGGAACAGTTTTCAAACACCGTTGGAGTGCATGAAAGAGATCCAGTCTGATGTCAACATCAGGAAAAATGGCTGTGAGAGAACTTTTCCATTTGCAGCAGCTGACAATGACAACTCCCCTCAGTTTGACACCCCGTGTCTGCAGTCTCTCCTTAAACTGGATGAAGATATCTCTAACCTCTTCAAAAGATTCACCACGTGTAAATTTCCAGTGTAGGATATGTCCACCTTCCCCTATAACGATAAAGACACATTTGAACAGTTTGATCCACAGGCATTTCCCATCACTTTCCCTTAGAAAACCAATATTAGCAGCACTTTTAAATGTGTGGTCGCATAATATCCAAACTGAGGTTCTACTGGCCATGTCGTCTCGAAATAACTTGCCGAAAAGAGAAGTATATGAACAGAACACTTCCGTTATAGCTTTAACATGTGAAAAGGGAAAAGAAGATTGATCAAATTTGGGGAAATCGACTAAATTTGATTTTGCCACATGTTTAATGTCTTCGTATAAGTATCGAGATCGAAAATAGGACTGTTGGTACTGTTCGTGAATAATATCCTCAACTGAGAGAAAACTAACTCCACAGTCCATAAGAAAACAAATGTGACATACCAGTTCGGTGGAAAATCCAGCTCGGTTGGTTAAAAGGAATGGGACGTGAACTGTTGAGGGAAGACTTGCCAGAATTTGAGGATTATGTGATGGCACTTTATGGTTGTTTCTACAAGTGTAAACACCCGACACAAGGAGAATCATGGTACTAGTGTTGTGGATTACCCCTAATGGATATGGCGTCTAAGTTGTCCCGTCTGTGCAAATCCCGCGTCTAACTAGAAGGCTTGAGTGGCCATTCCTTTCGCAGAAAGGACAAGGAAGAGATTTAACAATTCCAGCGTATGACTTTAACAAGTGCCACAACAAGATTGCAGGTGATGTGTATTCTTCCACCGCGGGTGTCAGCCTGACATGCCAGACCGAACCGATCAATGTCAGCTTTAATCCTTAAAGTGGTAAACTTTGATATTTCAAAGCGATTGTTGAGCTTTAAAGAGACAAGTATAACGACAACCAGTAATATCTTTGAAGCATAAGCGAATGACCCCATATTTTTTCAAAGCAATTGTTGAGCTTTAAAGAGACAAGTATAGCGACAACCGGTAATAACTTTGAAGCATGAGCGAATTACCTAATATTTCAATATTAGCGTCTGACGGTTGCATAACGAACTACGTTCAGTCGTCCGTCAATGCGTGTATATGTATTGTACAATGTGTGTAAATTTGTACCAACCAACTCCTAAATGGAACTTAAATTTCATTTTTTTTGTTTGGTGGGCAGTCATGTGGAATGGCCTAGAAAATGCGAAATAAATAAATAAATAAATCTCAAGTCTGTCCTGTCTTTGCCTTGAACGAGGGATCTCCGGCCTTGAGGGAGTTGAGATAGAACTTATTTTAGTTATATAATGTAGATTTAAGGTTGATTTTTGAGTAATTAATTATAGGATAGATTTTCTTAATAAATAGATATACTTTTAGCATTAGTGTAGTGTAGTTTCTCTGAAATTTTTGTTATGTAAACGGCTCACTGTGGAAGAGCATTTTTAATGAAGTGATACCATAAGTAAAGCTTTATTGATTGATTGATTGACTTGCTCGATTGTACTTTTATCAAAATGTGTCTTCTAAGATAGTAGTTCTGTTCCCAATATTTCACAACCGTAAAGTAGTACGGTCTTTCAGTTGCACGGTGGGAAAATGAAAGTATACTTCTTGGCAGCCATAAAATGCTCTGAGCTGTAGATTAAGAAACTATTTTTTATCACCTCTCAAAGGACTGATGTTAGAGTCAGGTTTGCTGGTTAAAATTACTATCAACCATCTAGTCTCAATGTATAGACAGATATGGTCTCTGTGGCACAAAAACTATTAAAACGATCAACTTACCTCAAACTGTGGTATCAACATAGAGCGCAATCTGGTTTCAATGGTATAAGAGGGACACAGTTACTTTATCCTGTGGTATCAAGGTACAGCAGGATCTGGTTTCTATGGTATAAGAGAGACCCAGTTACTTTACCTTGTGGTATCAAGGTACAGCATGATCTGGTTTCTACTGTATAAGAGAGATTTAGTTACTGTATCCTGTGGTATCATAGCCTGCCAGGCAGACGTTCTTAGGGGTTCGTCACACGTTCCTGCCCCATGAACGTCTGCTGACTTGAGTGGAAAAAAACGTAGACCAATCACAGCAGACTTCCAGATCTGGGAAGTGCACTTTGGACCCTGAAAAATTTCGCGCTTGACTTTATAGCTCAAAAAAGGTCAGTGAGGTCTCATGAAAGGTGAAAACCTTACAGGTTTAGAACAAACTACTCAGTCAACTCACAAGCGTTCTTACTAGTGGCTACCCTTACAATCTCATTGAAAAAATTACCTCGGAGGTTAAATTTGCTAAACGGAAGTCGGCTTTACTACAAAACAATAAAGTGTGAAAAAAAATTCTGCCTTTTGTTAAGTCTTACAAGGTAACCCCACCGTTGCATCACCCAGAGAACAACTTTATGAGCAAACATCATCTAATCCAGCCTTTACAGAGAGAAATATACAACAACCCATCGCTTCTCTCCTAGATTCTCGTCTGGAGCAAAAATCTCTGGTCACGTATCACACTCTACAGAGCTTGTACGTATGTGTTTGGCTTGTCAACACTTTGACTTCAACAGCGCCGATTGGATCTCCGACAATCTGCATGTGATCTCCAACTGATATTTGCGAACAATGGAAAAGGAATTTGTCTTTCAGTTCAGCAGACGTTCGTGGGGCAGGAAAGTGTGACGGGCCCCTAAGAACGTCCGCGTGAGAGGCTAGTGGTATCAAGGTACAGCACGATCTGGTTTCTATGGTATAAGAGAGATCTACATGTAGTTACTTTACTCTGTGGCATCAAGGCACAGTCTCATCTGGTCTCTTTGGTATAAGAGAGATATATAGAATGGTATGGTATAGAATGTGAAAATATACTGCTCTGTGTTCTCAAGTAAGAACACGCAGATTGACATTTGAATGTGTCCGGATTTTTGCAATTGGCAGTGATGCTAAGGAACCAGTTAAGGCCGCTGGACAATCCAAGGTTAGCATACGACCATACATAGGCGTACGGGCAATTTTTTGCCAGGGGGGGCGGTAATCCATTTGCCCAAAAAATTCTTCCAAGTTGCCCAAATTTTTACAAAACAGTCGAAAGGAAACTAGGGCCATGCAACAAAATAGGCCGTACTGGCATATGAAAGTGGCTCGATACAGTTTTTCAGGGTCAATACCTGCCAAGTTTGAGCATAAACTTCGTCGCCACAAACAAGCATTTGGAAAAAATTGCCACCACAGTTGTATTAGATAAAGAGGGAAATTTGTCATGATCAGGATTGCAATGACATCGGAGCTGTCATAGCAACGAAATGACGCCATTACCTTATTCTACTTGGAGCAATATTTCTCACTGGGAACTGTTCTTACAAAATCGTTCAGGGGAGCTCTTTCCTCCAATAGTCGCCTCGATGTTCGTGAAGTTAAAACAGAACTGTAAGAGCGTTATCGAGATATTTTGGGACGAAGTTTTTATTGTTAGAAATAAGGTAAAAAAGGAAAATCTTGATGTTTAGTCGCAATCTGAAGAAAACGAAACCCTTTTAACATGCAATTTCACCTCATAGTAGTTTCAATCTTTTTAAAAACGTGTGTGGAAGATCATGGAGATAGCTCCTGCCAATTGCTATAAAGAAGGATTTGATAAGCGCTCGATCTTGTTAGGGGTTTTGTAAACATTTCGGTCTACTTAAACAAATTAATGAATAATTTTTAAACCGCTCGGTAGATTTTTTAAAAAAAATTATGATTCTTCTCGTAATTCAAACTGTAAATTGTAAATTGTAAATATCTTATTATCCACTCCCCTCAGGGCTTTTCAGGGATAATTTACAACACTGGTTGGGGGACTTTGACACACTGCTTAAGGTGCAGTTTACAAGTACTGAAGGAATGAGTGACGATGCCCCCATACATGAGTGTGAAAGTGAGATAGACCACTACACCGGGCACTACGTGCCCTACTCTTTACGAAGAGTGTGTTTGTTCTTTAACGTCCCACAGATTTATTACATGTGCAAGGGCTTGTCAGACGGGGCCTACGGTTTATCGTCCTTATCCGAGAAGACTAGAAAGTCTAACCATTTGCAGATGCTATTACAAAGGCAGCACTTTCTCCTCAGTTATTTAAAGACCCTGAGTGTTGGTCCGGCCGGGGTTTGAACCTACGGCCTCCCGCTCAGCAGACCGGCGCTCTCCCAACTGAGCTAACCGAGAATTAGTCAGCCACTTCTTCACTTTCAGACCCATTGCTGATGCGTGTTCTGCCACACACTGTTCTAGGAGCGGACGTGATTCTAGAAAGTTATGCGGAAGTTTATTCTAATCAATCCACGACTGGAAATAGCCTATTCTAGCTAGTGCAGTGAAGTACAGTGCCCAACAATAAAAAAAATCAGCATATGATACCCTTCCCTTATAACCAGAAACTCATCACGTGCTAGACAACCACTGTCTCGTGTGAACGTAACTGAATTATTACTCCGACTTCTGGTTAAAATAGGAAATATTTATCTCTTAAAAATAATAATAAAAATAAAAAACATGGAAACGTCTTTAAAAACTGGCTTTGCCCAAATTTTCTCGTGCTGCCCAAAAAATCTGAGTTGCCCAAACTTTGGGGGGGCTGCAGCCCCCCTCGCCCCCCCGGCCCGTACGCCTATGCGACCATATGAGCTTCACAATGGGAATGGGCGGGTGGACGTCTGCCACCGTCGTCACCTCTGAAAGTCTCAGGATCCTTTCTACGGAAGCTTTCCGCGATGTCTTTCAAAGGTGTGGCCGTACCTACCAGGGATGATGTGAAAAGCTCTCTGAACCTCAAGGAGCAACATGTCACAGAACACGCAACAGTATATTGTCAATAAAAGAGATCTAGCTACTTAATCCTGTGGTATCACGGTAAAGTACGGTCTGGTTTTTATGGTATAAGAGAGACGCTTCATCCTGTGGTATTAAGGTATAGCATGATCTGGTTTCTATTGTATAAGAGAGATCTAGTTACTTTATCCTGTGGTATCAAGATGCAGCAAGATCTGGTTTCTATGGTATAAGAGAGATCTAGTTACTTTATCCTGTGGTATCAAGATGCAGCAAGATCTGGTTTCTATGGTATAAGAGAGATCTAGTTACTTTATCCTGTGGTATCAAGATGCAGCAAGATCTGGTTTCTATTGTATAAGAGAGATCTAGTTACTTTATCCTGTGGTATCAAGATGCAGCAAGATCTGGTTTCTATAGTATAAGAGAGATCTAGTTACTTTATCCTGTGGTATCAAGATGCAGCAAGATCTGGTTTCTATGGTATAAGAGAGATCTAGTAACTTTATCCTGTGGTATCAAGATGCAGCAAGATCTGGTTTCTATTGTATAAGAGAGATCTAGTAACTTTATCCTGTGGTATCAAGATGCAGCAAGATCTGGTTTCTATTGTATAAGAGAGATGTAGTTACTTTATCCTGTGGTATCAAGATGCAGCAAGATCTGGTTTCTATGGTATAAGAGAGATCTAGTTACCTTAACATGATCTTGTTTTAAGGTACTTTACGGTCTGTTTTTTATGGTATAAGATATATCCTGTGATATCAAGGTACAGTGTGATCTGGTTTTTATGGGAGTACATGTAAATTTGAGCTATTTTTGCGGATGGTGTAAAGCTTTTGAAAAGCTCAACTCAATTTCAATTAATGGGCAATCCTCAGTTTGGGGGGAGGGGGGTGGGGAATTAAATGTCCCAATAAGTGTCGACTGTGTGCGCGCCAGTAGGTACGAACGACGTCATATTGCTGTGAGTTATTTCTATATATTATGAACGTGTTTTATGCTGCATATGTTGTTTTTGATGCAAATTAGTCGATTTATTTCTTTAGAAAGAACCTTCGTGAGATTAAGCTAGCTTACCAGCGGAAGAAGGTATTTTAAAATTTGCGGGAGAAAGGAGACTTGTTTCGAAGAGTCGGTTGTTTCTCATGGCAAGAAAATTAAACACCATGTTGCTTAGATGTTTTCTTGGAGGTACATTCTTACCCTTTTTGAAGAAGATCGAGAAATCCGCTGAAGCTATAGGAACTTTTTAACGCCGCGAAGAGTTACCGCGGCTGCCGACGGTCGCCGCCATTGTTAACACTGGTGTCTAGTCTTTCTCGAAATTAGTTGCACCACAGGCCACCCATACACACTTTCGGTAGCGGTTTGAAAAGCATGGCGAATGACTTTTGACCAAGGACCGAGATAACGTACATCATGGTACATTTTTTGTTTATAAGCAAAGGTGTATTTTCTCAATAGTGGAACGAAATGTTTAAAACCGTCAGTTTCAGTCAATGGAGTGGTATGAGAGAGTCATACACGCGGAAGGCGGCTGATAGAACATTCCAATTTTCTGGAACATGGTCGACGAAAAACCAGCAAGCACGAGACCATTCAGCGTCAAGATAGAGGTAAGTGAGATTACATTTAATCTTCATTTTACATGTCTATTCTATCTGGATCAAAGTTTTTTTTGAAAAGTATGTTTAAGAAGCAGCAAGCGTGAGATACCGCAAAGCCAACTTTAAATTTTTGATGACCTTAACCACAGGCAGCCCAGACTCTGTGGGAGTTCGTTGAGACTTTGAATGTATACTAGAATGTATGAAAATAAACAAACTATGTCCTGAATTTAAATTTTTTTACAAAAATAGAATTAAAAATTACTCGCCTTGTGATTTTGTGTTGCTTTTTACTGTCTCTTCACTTCTAGAGCTATTTGGAAGCTGTTTTATCGACGTTTAAGATTTTGAGTTGCACTAACTCAAAATCTTAAACGTCTTAAATGGCTTCCAAATAGTTCTTGAAGTGAAGAGACAGTAAAAAACAAAACAAAAACCCAGGGTGAGTCATTTTCATTTCTATATTTTTGGTCAAAAATGGAAGTTAGCACATATTTTGTTTATTTTGACATTATTATTCTCTTGTGTAAATTCAAAGTCCCAACAAACTCCCACCGAGTTTGGGCCACCTGTGCCTTAACCAGAACTTAAAGAAGTCATATTATTAAGTACATAGTCAGAAATGTCCATATTGAATGTTTGTTGCAAGAAAAAAAGAGTCTGTAGTGATACAATGTACATTGCGGTTCAATTTTATCCTTAGTTGGTCTTGGTTCAGTTGGTACAGCTACATGTACAGGCGCGGATCCACACCGGTTTCCACCGTTTTATGGAAATTGGTCAGATTTTTCATAATAAACATATCTTTAATATAATAATAGAACTTTCCATTTTTAAGTCTGGAAAATGGTGTGGACAATGTTTTCTTTTTCCAATATCCAGGCATTTGATGCCCCCTCAATGAATCGTGAAACCCGGGAAAGGGAACTTTGGGGAGTTAATATCCAAAAAAATTCCCAGGGAAGCATGCCCCCGGGCTCCCTAAGAAGCTCGCTCCCTTGGCCCCTGGTTTAGGAAATCAGTCAGTATATACCCTAGATCCATGCCTGATGTACATGTAGACCGGCCAACCCCTGATAAAGGAAAATGTGGAGACTCATGAAAGAAAAATTAATCTGGAGATTCTACATGAAGTGGAAAGATTCTATTTTTTCTATATCAAGATTTAAACAAACCTTTTTTCATTGGGTATTGATTTAAGCATTTATTTAAATATTCCCTTGCTATATTTGTAATGTAATGTTTACTGCAGTGAATGTGAAGGGGAGCAACTTTAATAAGAGTAACAAGGATTGATAAAGAAAAATTTCATAATGATAATAATAATTATTATCATTTATGAAATTTTTCTTTATCAATCCTTGTTAATCTTACGTGTATTAAAGTTGCTCCCCTTAGTTACGAAAACCCTGAACACTCAGACACTCCAAAGCAAGCTAGAAACACCTTTAAAACAACAACAACTAAAGAACATTAACAACAGAAATAACCTGTACAATATTTGGCAGATTGGGGCTAATTATTTCTTTTTGTCTCTAATGTCATTCTAATTTTCCGACTCTTTAGGGGCTTTTAGGGGTATGCTGGATTCTATCGTTCCTTTTCTTAGTACATGTCCTGTTTTTTCTCTCTCTCCATCTTTATTTTGACTTTTAAGGAAAAACATGGGAGCTGCATGATTTCTAATAATAATGTCTGTGGGGAAATTCTCCATTTTAATGTCTTTTATCTTGCAAAGACAAAAAACAGTGCAGAAACGTTTCCTTAGAAAGGCAGGAGTAAGCTGAAAGCCAACTGGTGAGAACCCCGCTGGTCTCATACATGTGCATTGTATTTCAAAAGAAAACCACTTGCCAAAATTCAGATTTAGATTTATTATTTTGATATATAAATCCACTCAAAATCTATTTTTGGATTCAGAGATCCATATTATTTTCCTTTTCTTGAAGAAACAATTGAACCTTTAATAGTTGAGCAAAACAACTCTGTACATGCATCACAATTCTGGACCACTGGCTTCTCTGTTTGAAAAAAAAAAATACCAATCTAAAACTTTTCATAAACATTGTTAACAACTTGGAGTTTCAGATCCTGAAACAGATTTCTGTTTACAATTTAGAGAGAGTGGCAGTGAAAGCTTTTTAGATGGAAAGTAACTTTTTAATATCCTGAAAAGAAGCATTTAAACAAAACTGTTAGAAGTAACAGGTTTTCTTTTATTTCAATAAAAGTAAACAAAATAAAAGATTGTAATATTATGTCCAAGAGTTAACTCAAGCCCTTACATTTATGTTCAATGACTTAAATGACCTCTTTCCCCTCCTTAAGGGTTCAACCCCCCCTCCCCAGACCACCTGGTCTCTATAATTAAGGTGGCTCGATTTCAAGGTAAATACTGTACCTCCCAAGTTTGAACATAAACTACGTGGCCATAATCAAAGACTTGGATAATTCCACCACAGTTGTAGTAAATGAAGATAAAAATTTGTGATGATCAGGGTTGCTATTCCTGATCCAAACTGAAGCAACTAAAACCTTATTAAACCTTCATTTAGCTGCTATCAAAAAGGTTCACGCTTTAAAAGACAACTTTTGGTCAACGAATTCCCTAGATATAGACTGCTTCAGAGGTCAAATGCCGTTGGAGGAAAAAAACCACAGGAAATCAATGCACAGGAAACACATTGTCCTCATGATCATGACCCCTTGGTCGGCAAAGACAACATTTGCTCAAAACGAAGATCCTCCACGGCATACTTTACCCTCTTTTCTAAGGGGCCAGTTTTCAGTGATCAAGCACTCTTTTGATGTTGAGCTCAGATGGATCAGGGAGTTTGCACTGCGTGACAAAAGGCAATATTGTCTGATGTGCTGTTGTTGTATAGCCAATTTCCTGTTGTGAAAAGACATTAGCTTTAGCCCTTTTGTGAACTAAGGATAGCAGATGTGTCTTAATTTTTGAGTTCTTTCCCTCAAAAGATGTCTTTCAAGGAGGTTGTTCAACCGCAAATTTTATGGTGGAATAGAGCCTGTTAGCTTGCTCAATTTTATTTCAAGTCCACGACTTTCCCTTTTATTGGAGAGACCCAGGATTTACATTAAAATTTGATTGACGTGTTATCAGCTCTCAGCCAATCAGAAACTCCCATATGCCTGGTTGTCAGACTATTCAAAATACCCCAAGAATTGGGGCAGGGTGATTTCAATTTGACTTGCTCCCAATCTGCATGTGGCTCTGCTGCCAAAAAACTACGCATGTACAGCACTTGACAACTAATCGCGCTAGCTACAAAGGCTACTCCTTTGTTTCAGTCTTAGATTAATGTGGAAAAGTGCAAATGCAGAAAGCTAGAGAGGCAGTGGCATACCTCTGTACCTCTTGTTTGCTTGTAGATCTCAAGGCATATGTTAATCAGTGCAAAACTGTGAATGTTTTAATTTACCAGTCGAAGGTGGAATACTGGTGGAACAGTTCCAGTCTGCTTGTAAACCCAGTCACAGTATGGAAGAAACACTTGAATGGTTCAAGATGATATTTTGCAAGCCATTGACCATGATCAGTGTGTAATATTACTGAATCTCAATTGATATAGTTGATCATCGCATTTTGCTTGCTAGAATCACCGAATGATTTGGCATTGATGTCAAGGATCGTGACTGGTTTAAGTCATAGCTTAGTGAGCGAATGCAGTTTGTTTCTATTGGTAGTGCCTGCTCATCCACTCTGCCATTGAACTGTGGCATTCCCCAGGGCTCTGCTTTGGATCTGCTATTATACCTGTTTTTTGTGGAACCATTGGTGACATAAAACTATAGGCTGAAGGCATCACAATGTTTCTTTTCACCTTTATGCTGACAATACTCTGCTTTATGTATCATTTGAGTCATCTGTTCTGGGTGACCTTTCCATGGCCAGGGCACACTCCACATTGGAATCCTGTGCTCATGATACTGATAAATGTTTGTTATACATTAATGATGGTGAGACAGAGATGCTGATTATCCATGCTAAGGACCGTCCTGCTCTCCTCCTTGATAAGCTTTAAGTGGCCACTGAACTGTTACCTCTTAGCTTCTGCAAAGAATATTGGAGTTGTTCTCAACTCGATGCTTTCACTTGACAATCACATTACACAAATTTGCAAATCTTCTTTCTATTCTACTTAGGAACATTTTGGGTATCGTGCAGAAAGTTTTTAAGTTTCCAGCAGGGAATATCCTTGTCTTTACACATTTGTTACCTCAGAGCTTGATAATATTGTGATTCTTTGCTTCATGGTCTCCCCAAGAACTAATTACAGTGCCTGCAATATATTTTGAATTCTGCAGCTAGGCTCGTCACCATGTCAGGAAAATCAGAGTACGTTATGCCACTGCTTTTTCAGTTACTTTGGCTGCCTGTTGAGAAGCATATTAAATTTATAGTGCTACTTTTTACTTATAAGGCAATGCAAGGAGTGGCTCCTAAGTACTTAAGTGATCTCCTATAATAGCCTTACTCTCCATTGCATAGTTTGCCATCTGCTTTGAAACTGTTGCTTTAAAGTCGCCCTCAGTTTATCTTAGAACATGTGAATATACATGTAGATCCTTTTCGGTTTGTGCACCAAGACTTTGTAATTCCCCTCCTTTTTACATTAAGTGAAGCCCTTCTATTGAAAGGTTGAAGGCATACATGTAATGATGTTTTAAGAAAGATTTTCATTGAATCATTTATCAATTTTAGTAACTGTAGACTTTGCGATGATGTTTTTAGATAGCTTTCAATTTTAAGATGTGAAGCACCTTGGGATACCTGCAGAAAGGTGCTATACATGTATGAATTGATGATGATGATGATTATAATTTTTGTTGTTGTTGTTTCCACAAGTTTTGTTACTCTATTGTAAAAACATCTCATTAACCCATTCGCTCCTGGAGATTTTTCAGAAAAACCCGTTTTGAAGCTAGTTGAGTGGTTTTCTGGTCACTGTCGTGCTATAAAGAGCTAAAACTTACCACAAACTGGTTTACAGGTCGAACACTTTGCGGCCTTCTGATCCAGATGCAAAATATCAGCTTGCGAAGTTCGGGCATGCGCAGAAAGCAAAATTTCGTTTTTGGGTTTAAAAGTGACACAGCAGTCTTAGCTTGACTTTTACTTTTCGCTTTTTCTCCTCCCTTCTTTTTTCGCTTTTCTTGCCTCATCTTTTTTTTCTCTTGCTGGGCATTTAGTAGGCTTCATTTTGGTGGGAAGAGTTTTTAGGAAAGCTTTTAGGATCTTAGGATTAGGTGAAAGGAGAGGTAGGTGGGTAATGGAACAAGATTTTCATGGAGATTTTCAGGTCAATGTCAGGTGGTTTTTTGCTTGTTTCTCCGGTGTCCTCGACTAAATTGTGCTCATTCTGGTATGGTTTGAAAGATCTCTTCACTATGCACAAGTTAGCGAAGAAAGTTGTCCTTGACCGTTAAAACTGATGACGTCACAATGGGTAGAAAGGACCTGGATCTGCACGGGCGGTTACGGGCGGTTCAGGGGTGAATGGGTTAAAATGCAAGTGTTTGATCTCACTGAGATGAACAACATGTTTCATCTCAGATGAAAACCTAGTGGTGTTTTATCTGGTGTTTGATTTGGTATTAAGATTCATCCACCTGACCCAAATGGTCATCATTTATTGGCTTCTGACTTCATTCATGAATAATTTTAATTATTCACCCAACTCTTAAACTCATTAAAAAGAGTTTAAGAGGCGTGTTTTGTTCTCATGGCTCAATAATTTAATTTGCCTCATATAAAAAATCCCTTTAACTTCGTCTGTTTCATAATAATCACTTACCGTATATCTATATAAGCTCTTACTTTTTGTTCTTAGATATACATGTAGCAGTTCTGCCGAGAAAAGCTTCTTGTATCATTTGATAAACTACTGCACACAGACAACAGAACACTCATACCTTGGGTGAGTAATAGTACAGTTAAAAATATGACTGTTTTAAGGCTATTTTCTATCCAAGAAATTTTTCAATTTGGGGAAATCAGTGGAGACCTGACCAACCTGTTTTCCTATGATCATGCCCCACCCAGTTCTTCAATAAAGGTAGATAAATAATTAAATAAATGCTCTCCACCAAATAATTAACTCCATCTAGTGTCTCACACAACTGGATGCTAATACATGTAATATTCCACTAAATATGGATTTATTTGGTGGATATCTCTATCCACCATTTATATTTTGAACAACTGGAACCAGTTTCATAATTATGTTGGCACTAAAAGGAAATGCATGACAGTGACCGACCCATTGTTCAGTTACTGGTCAAAAAATGACGGTTACACTTGAAACTCGTTTTAATGAAGTGCCAAGGGACTGGGAAAATGTGTTCATTATATCGAGGGTTTGTTATATCGAACACCTCCATTTAACAATTTTTTGGGAAAACTGCCAAAATGTTTGCTACATCGAGGTAAAGACAGTTAAGTAACAAAACCCAGCATTTCAGCCGGATCGTAAAAATAATTATGCTGTACATAATAATATTTATTAGCTACATGTATACATAGCTACGGCACTAGAAACTCAAGAACAGGCAAAGAAAACTGCTTAACGGTAAACATAAATTTTATCTTATCGGGTGGTAACCGGTAAAATTTACCGCCTGAAGCAACACTTCTTGCCACCTGCAACAGTCTGGAGGTTTACTAAAATTAAAGAAGTACTTTTAAAAAATACACAGGTTGTGATCCAATCTGATTCTCACATGCTACAAGAAAATGAATGTAGAAAAGTACTAAACAACTTTGAATGGTGGGGAGAAGGGAGCAGTGCAGATCATTTTTTTCTCCAAAGTTACCCCCATTTGAGGCCAAGGTCTCAACAATTTTGTCGCTGATTATAGAGTTGGCCCCTCGCATTCGAGGTGTCCATTTTACATGCAGGAAGAAGTCCACCTTTCTTTTTCAGGAAATGCCGCATTATAATTAGCCAAAGGGGTCCCAAGGGCACAAAGAAGAAAAAGAACCTAGTACAAAACGTATGTAAACATACGTACATATACTTACATTTCCTTATAATATAAGCCAAAATTTAATTAGTAATGCAGGCATCTTTGGAAAACACCCATCATTATGTAAAAAATACGCAGTCTAAAACTGCATGTGTCTACTACAGTAAAAGAACTGAAGAAAAGAAAATAAGACTGAAATGAAAACGAAGAGGGAGGAGTGGAAATAGAATAGGGATAAAAAAGAAAACTTTGTTAAAATGTTGCACAGAATACTGGTGAGAAGAGATTAAGCTGGTACCTTTTACCACAAAGATATTGTATGAGGAGAACTAGCTGTAACTTTATTCTAACGTAAACAACATTTTATATGATCTTACAACATGAACCACAACTTTGTACTGAAAGCAACAAAAACACTCAACACGCTCAATTAGATGTCTTTGTTCAACAAATACAGGACTTGTTATGGCCTTATTCGTAGTTTCCAAAATGAGGTAGTCCATTGTCTCCCGAAAAAAGTGAGTGCTAGGAACAATACTGGATTTATTTGCCTCCCAAAGGCGATTATAAATTTCTCCCCGAAAGGAATTTTTGCTCTCCCGAAAGAGATTATTCGCTCCGTGAAGGGAATTTTCGATCTATCGAAAGAGATTATTAGCTCCCCGTAGGGAATTTGACCCTTGATAAGGGTTACACATGATCCAGCGACGACCAAACGGACATTGAATGCATTGAACTGCAGAGGAAACTGAATGCTCATGGACATTGGCATCAAAATCCTTCGAATGAATGATTCTTATCGCCCCAAACTGTAAGAAAACCTGACAAACTCTTTAGAAATGAATACTTTACAAATGCATAGAAAGCTGTGCTCGGTTATTGATGCGAAAACATTGTAGAAAATAGATTTAGACTCACCTTCAACAGGAATAAAATTTACCAAATCTCAAAAAGCACATGGTAAAGATGTAGGGTTAACGTCGCAATCGATATAACGCCGTCCAGCACACGTGGCTGCCGAAGTATCGTCGAACCATCTCGTAAATACCTCGTAATCCGTCTCGTAAATGACAGTAACCGACCGATTGATGATCATATCTCGGCTTCCGGAAATACAATCGCTTAGATCCCGGTCAGCCTCGGATTAGCGTTGGCTTTCGATCGGATTCCATTTGGGATTCCTGTGGCATTTACACTCTTTCACTCGCTCTTTCACTCTATCACTTGACCCGATGACATAGTGTTTATGCTTCTCTAGAAGCCGTAGACACAAAAAGTATGAGGCATTTACTCTAACTCAGACCTGTGAGTTAAACATTGAAATAACTGTATCTAAAAATTGCAACCCTCTTTTCTCCCTCATGATCCCCTTTTAGCTCCTCTATGGGTCCTGTGGACCCCAGTGTAAAAAAAACCTGGTAAGAACGCTGCAAAAGGAACCAACTCTAGGTGTTCACTTAAGGGAGGGGTCAACCTTAAAGAGAGTCAAATAGAATGACTGTGGTACAATAGGAACCAACTCTAGGTGTTTACTTAAGGGAGGGGTCCAACTTAAAGATAGTCAAATAGAATGACTGAGGTACAATAGGAACCAACTCTAGGTGTTCACTTAAGGGAGGGGTCCAACTTAAAGACAGTCAAATAGAATGACTGAGGTACAATAGGAACCAACTCTAGGTGTTCACTTAAGGGAGGGGTCCAACTTAAAGACAGTCAAATAGAATGACTGAGGTACAATAGGAACCAACTCTAGGTGTTTACTTAAGGGAGGGGTCCAACTTAAAGACAGTCAAATAGAATGACTGAGGTACAATAGGAACCAACTCTAGGTGTTCACTTAAGGGAGGGGTCCAACTTAAAGACAGTCAAATAGAATGACTGAGGTACAATAGGAACCAACTCTAGGTGTTCACTTAAGGGAGGGGTCCAACTTAAAGATAGTCAAATAGAATGACTGAGGTACAATAGGAACCAACTCTAGGTGTTCACTTAAGGGAGGGGTCCAACTTAAAGACAGTCAAATAGAATGACTGAGGTACAATAGGAACCAACTCTAGGTGTTTACTTAAGGGAGGGGTCCAACTTAAAGACAGTCAAATAGAATGACTGAGGTACAATAGGAACCAACTCTAGGTGTTCACTTAAGGGAGGGGTCCAACTTAAAGACAGTCAAATAGAATGACTGAGGTACAATAGGAACCAACTCTAGGTGTTTACTTAAGGGAGGGGTCCAACTTAAAGACTGTCAAATAGAATGACTGAGGTACAATAGGAACCAAATCTAGGTGTTCACTTAAGGGAGGGGTCCAACTTAAAGACAGTCAAATAGAATGACTGAGGTACAATAGGAACCAACTCTAGGTGTTTACTTAAGGGAGGGGTCCAACTTAAAGACAGTCAAATAGAATGACTGAGGAACAATAGGAACCAACTCTAGGTGTTCACTTAAGGGAGGGGTCCAACTTAAAGACAGTCAAATAGAATGACTGAGGTACAATAGGAACCAACTCTAGGTGTTCACTTAAGGGAGGGGTCCAACTTAAAGACAGTCAAATAGAATGACTGAGGTACAATAGGAACCAACTCTAGGTGTTCACTTAAGGGAGGGGTCCAACTTAAAGATAGTCAAATAGAATGACTGAGGTACAATAGGAACCAACTCTAGGTGTTCACTTAAGGGAGGGGTCCAACTTAAAGACAGTCAAATAGAATGACTGAGGTACAATAGGAACCAACTCTAGGTGTTCACTTAAGGGAGGGGTCCAACTTAAAGACAGTCAAATAGAATGACTGAGGAACAATAGGAACCAACTCTAGGTGTTCACTTAAGGGAGGGGTCCAACTTAAAGACAGTCAAATAGAATGACTGAGGTACAATAGGAACCAACTCTAGGTGTTCACTTAAGGGAGGGGTCCAACTTAAAGACAGTCAAATAGAATGACTGAGGTACAATAGGAACCAACTCTAGGTGTTCACTTAAGGGAGGGGTCCAACTTAAAGACAGTCAAATAGAATGACTGAGGTACAATAGGAACCAACTCTAGGTGTTCACTTAAGGGAGGGGTCCAACTTAAAGATAGTCAAATAGAATGACTGAGGTACAATAGGAACCAACTCTAGGTGTTCACTTAAGGGAGGGGTCCAACTTAAAGACAGTCAAATAGAATGACTGAGGTATAATAGGAACCAACTCTACTGTAGATGTTCACTTAAGGGAGGGGTCCAACTTAAAGATAGTCAAATAGAACGACTGAGGTACAATAGGAACCAACTCTAGGTGTTTGCTTAAGGGAGGGGTCAGCCTTAAAGATATCAAATACAATGACTGAGGAACAGTAAGAACCTTTTCTAGGTGCTCAGTTAAGGGAGAATCCAACTTACAATGTAAAGATAGTTAAATAGAACGACTGAGGATCAGTCGAAACCAACTCTAAGTGTTCCCTTAAGGGAGGGCTCCAACGTAAAGATAGTCAAATAGGATGTCTGAGGAACAGTAGGAACTAACTGTAGGTGTTAACTTAAGGGAGGGGTCCATTACAGATAGTCAAATAGAATGACTGAGGAACAGTAGGAACCAGCTCAAGGTGTTCACTTAAGGGAGGGGTCCAACTTAAAGATAGTCAAATAGAATGACTCAGGTACAGTAGGAACCAACTCTAGGTGTTCACTTAAGGGAGGGGTCCAACTTAAAGATAGTCAAATAGAATGACTGAGGAACAGTAGGAACCAGCTCAAGGTGTTCACTTAAGGGAGGGGTCCAACTTAAAGATAGTCAAATAGAATGACTGAGGAACAGTAGGAACCAACTCTAGGTGTTCACTTAAAGGAGCTCTGTCACGAAACTCTCGGCAAATTAGGTAATAACAAAATGCCCGATAAATTAAGAGAAACTTAAAAATAACCGCTTAAAATATTAAAGGAAGGTTAAAATAACACAACAGAAACAACAGATTCCACGGTTGGGCAAAACTGAAGAAGACTGAAATGGATTGAAATTAGGGTTTTTGAAAACTGTTCAGCCTAACAGTTTTTCAAAGTTGATCCCTGCTGCTTGCAACTTCAAAAATAATGCGCAGGAAACATATTCGTTTGTCTTGGATCTCTCATTTTGTCATTTACATGTAATTTCTTTGCTTATTTTAATTTCCATAGCGATTGAGGGCTAGTAATTGGCAAAATTAAACAAAATGAACTGGACTGCCGTGACACAGCCCCTTTAAGGGAGGGGTCCAAATTAAAGACAGTCAAATAGAATGACTAAGGAACAGTAGGAACCAACTCTAGGTGTTCGCTAAAGGGAGGGGTCCAAATTAAAGATAGTCAAATAGAATGACTGAGGAACAGTAGGAACCAACTCTAGGTGTTCACTTAAGAGAGGGGTCCAAATTAAAGACAGTCAAATAGAATGACTAAGGATCAGTAGGGACCAACGCTAGGTGTTCACGTTCCATCGTAGAAGAAACAGGCCCAGTTTTAGGAGAGATTATCTCAAAGACCTCAAATTTTAAAGAACGCACAAAATTTCTTAGTAGAATGAGAATCATTGTTTCTCGAAAGTTTTGAAGGATCACGCACTCAGTTTCAGAGATTAGTCATGTTAGGGACGGACGTCTTTGTTACAGCTGATCGTGAAACTTGATCCTCGACTTGATTCTCGATAGCTTAATTGTTCTCGATTCTTGATTCGCGCAGGAATCAAGAATCGCAAATCCAGTCCAGAATTGAGACTCACAATAGACGACTGTCAACTTACTTTTAAATGGTACTGTAAGGGAGGGGTCCAACTTAAAGATAGTCAAATAGAATGACTGAGGAACAGTAGGAACCAATTCTAGGTGCTCACTTAAGGGAGGGGTCCAACTTAAAGATAGTCAAATAGAATGACTGAGGTACAGTAGGAACCAAGTCTAGGTTTTCACTTAAGGGAGGGATCCACCTTAAAGATAGTCAAATAGAATGACAGAGGAAATAATCAATCCTTTTCTCTGGGTGACAGATAGGAGGCCATTTCTTTGCACATAGTTTAAGGTTTGCAAAAGGCAGAGATGAATTTTCGGGAAGAATCTGTCATCATAAAGATCATTTATTGGTGTGACTGCTGAAGTATAAATTTTTTTTTGAGATTTTGTTGTCTTTTTTAACGACACTATTATCATTCTGACGGCTGTACATGTAAGCTTTTGATAGGTTTTTGTTTTTATTAAAGTGCAGGTGTTCAAGGTTAAGGAAATATTTTGTATATTTTCCCCTGTCAATGTACCAATGGGCTGTCAAAAATATTATCGTACCTTTCGCTTTGTATTTGAAGATTCTTTCTTGTTGTAGTTTTCTAGTGGCTAGCTCATCCAGTATTTGATTCTGTACTGTTTCCAATAAATTAATTTATTGTCCCCATCTAGTCTTTTATCAAGGGATGCAATGTCGTTTTTGTAGCAATTTTCCTGGGATTTTATTGTAGCATTTGTTTATTATTATGATATTTTATTATTATTGTTGTTGTTTCCATGAGTAAGGAACCATTAAAATGCAATTGTTGAAAAATAAAATCTTTATTACAAAACCTCAATTAAAATCCTATTTACAATCAACCTGCTATTACAAAAGATCTAATTAATTCATCGAAACACTATCTACAATTCCTTCATTAGAGATAAAAAAGAATCCTATATGTAATAAGTGAAGAAAGAAAAAAAACTGTTCATTTACAAATTCTAAAAAATAGAAGTAACTTAACCTTACATAAGAGAAGAGGAAATAGATATAATCAATAATAAAAGTTCGAAATTCTATAAAATTAAGAATTCCATTATGCAGAGATATTAAGATCGTACTATCGAATTATACTAATGACGGCTAAACCAGTGTCCATAAAAAGCCCTAAGTAAAAGCATATAGGCACGTTCAGATATCCGCACTAGCGGCATTTATTTTACAGTCTAATGATTGCTCTATCTTGCTACGAAACGGCGTTCGAGAACCTCTGACGCATGCATGTACCGATCTTAAGAGTTCAAACGAGACCTGTGTCAAGAGCCAAGTGATTACAACATGATAAGGCTCGGTGTCTTTCTGAGCTATCTTGTCTGCGAGATGCTTTAAGAACCGCTGACACTCGTTTCCCATTCCGCCACTGGTTCCAAACACTAAAGGCGTAAACGAACCCATTTCTACATCTAACACCCGCTGCTGGTACTTGCGCTTCTTCTCTTCTTCTTGCTCTTTGAACACTTCCGATGTTGGCTTGCTCTGGTAACATTTGGAGTTGACGTGCGTAACTCTAACATCAAAAAAAGCCGTAACTCCTCTTGCCCAGAAACCTCCCGCTTTGATGTCCAACCTTGCCTCAGAACTTGTAACAGCGCTCCTCAAATGAAATCGCTCGTTGTCCAGGGGTTGAAGGCGTGGTTCGATTTCGACATTATTGCAGATCTTGTCGATGAATGTCGTTAACAAGTTCCGTACACCATCATGTCTCTGCGCTACAAACCCCCCTTTTTACAAGAGAGGGCGTGACTAACGGTGAATTTATCCCCACATATGCAATGACTTGGTAAATCGACTAAGGGCAAGTCATATCGCAAGCGTAGCGAGTCTCTGAACTCTTGCTTGTTGAGGGCTAAACCTTTGTCTGCGAGAGGCATCGCATTCAGCCAAGAACTTGCGCCCTTGTCCCTCGATTGATTAACCAGACGCAGCAGGCCTGGGGAGAGGCTTGAATCAATGCTATCCATTTTCTCTTTGGCACTTGCTCTCTTAAGTGATTGTTGATGTCTCTTTAGCTCCTCCGTAGATCTTTCTCCTGGCACCATGATGGAACTCTGTGAAGTAATAGAATCTACGTGCGCGGTGGTTATTAGTCTCGAGGCAGCAAACTGCTGCGGTGCCTCGGATTTCAGATCAGGAATGCCTAGACCCCCTTGACCTGTTGCTAAGGTAGCAAGTCTGCGCACCTCGTTAGGGAGAGGCTCTGATTGACCGAACAAAGTTGGGAGTAGTAAATCTTCAATCACTTCCTGGATTGGATCGACATAAACTTCAAACGATTCAATCGTGCGCATGAAGTAGGTGAACTTCGACTTGTAGCCTTTTGTAAAAGCAATATAAGCCGCATGGGGCTGGCTTTTCGCTATTTCAGAGAGACGTTCGATTTCCTCTTTCCATGCACGAACCTTCGCCTCACAATACTGATCTTTGTATTCTTGCGACGCAATAACTGCTCCCAGATGGCGCTGACCTTCAGTCGTTATGTTGACTTCCTCTCCAAACACCCTCTTTGCTTCCTCCGCGATTTCCCTAGACTTCACAATAAGCCAGCTCTTTGTTCCATTCACAAGGTAACCAAACTTTTGACCTTCCTTGCTCAATTGCCTGTACCAGTTGTATAACTGCACTATACTCCCTCCTCCAGCTGAGTCGTCTGCAAGCCACACCTGTTTAACCAATGGGCAATGATCCCTCAAATTCTGTATCATTATGGATGTATTAAGTGCATACCATGGCATCGCTAGCGGATCTCCTTGTGTGGTGCCTTCTCGAGAAAGTATTTCACCTCCCCCACAAATTGATTCATCTTGTCAGTCCATTTTAGCCTTCCTGGTTTTCCAGCGAGCGACCGACCTGCAGCCGCCGCCTCCGCCATACTGACAGATGAAAAACATACTGACAGATGAAAAACATGTTTCATCTCAAAAAAACCTAGTGGCGTTTTATCAGGTGTTTCATTTGGTATCAAGATTCATCCCTCTGATCCAAATGGTCATCATTTATTGGCTTCTGACTGAATCAATAATTGATGAGTTTGAGAATAATAAAGTAAAGTTGGGTTTTGTTCTCGTTGCTCAAAAATTTAATTTGCAACCTGCAAACTGTTCCTACTCTAAACTGTTACTTTTTGTCTTTAATTTATAGCAGTCCAGCCGAGAAATGATTCTTGTATCGTTGGATAAAGTACTACACAGAGACAACAAGTCTCTCATACCTCTGGTGAGTAATAGTACATTAAAGAGTAATGTTTTAAGACTATTTTCAATCCTAGAAATTAAGGTTTTCAGGAAATCAGTGGATCATGCCCCAGTTCTTCAAAAGGCAGATAACGATATCCACCAGATATTAAATAATTACCTCCATCTAGTGGTTCACACAACTGGATGCTAATACAAGTAATGTTCGACTGGATATGGATTTATTTGGTGGATATCTCTATCCACCACTTACACTTGGAACAACTGGAACCAGTTCATAATTGTGTTGGCACTAAAAGGATATGCATGTTATGCATATAGGATATGCATGCATTGTTGTTGTTGTTGGTGGTGTTGTTATTAGTACTGAAAGGATATGCGTAACAAACCCATTGATCAGTTACTGACTGGTCATAAGTTGACAAAAAATGACGGTAAACTCTCTCTTAGGACACCTGTAAGACAGACAACTCCCAAAAACGGACACAAACTTTTATATTACAGGAGAGTACTGGTCCCTACTGTTCCTCAGTCATTCTATTTGACTATCTTTAAGGTGGATTTTTTGGGGAAATTCAGATAACAGAAGGATTGTATTCAATCCTGCTAATCAAAATGGGTTGTGGGCTAGTACATGCTAGCTACAGCTTGCCCGAATGGCACCCCTCCCTTAATAGTGAACACCTAGAGTTTGTTCCTACTGTTCCTCAGTCATTTTATTTGACTGTCTTTAAATTGGACCCCTCCAATAAGTGAACACCTAGAGTTGGTTCCTAGTGTTCCTCAGTCATTCTATTTGACTATCTTTAAGTTGGATCCCTCCAATAAGTGAGCACCTAGAGTTTGTTCTTACTGTTCCTCAGTCATTCTATTTGACTGTCTTTAAGTTGGACCCCTTCTTTAAGTTAACGCCTTGTTTTGGTCCCTACTGTTCCTCAGTCATTCTACATGTATTTGACTATCTTTAAGTTGGACCCCTCCCTTAAGTGAACACCTACAGTTGGTTCCTACTGTTCCTCAGTCATTCTATTTGACTATCTTTAAGTTGGACCCCTCCAATAAGTGAACACCTAGAGTTGGTCCCTACTTTTCCTTGGTCATTCAATTTGTCTGACTTGAAGTTGGATCCCTTCCTTAAGTGAACACCTACAGTTGGTCCCTACTGTTCCTCAGTCATTCTATTTGACTATCTTTAAGGTTGACCCCTTCCTTAAGTGAACACCTACATGTAGCGTTGGTATTTTCTTTTTTTGAGTCATTCTCTTTAACTTTCCGTAGGCCAAAGCTCTTCCTGAAGTGGACACCCTAGAGTTGGTCCCTGCCACTCTTCAGGCCTTCTTTTTCATTTTCTATAAGGTGAACACCTCTTTAAAATGCACACCAAGAGCTGGTCGCAGCTATTTTCAGTCATTCTCTTTAACTCTCTAGGCACAGCCCTCCCTCAAATGTACACCTAGACCAGGGTGCTTACGATTTACATGAACCACCCGGGTGAAAATCTTTTGCATAAAAATAAATCGATAGAATCTGACGTAGTGGGGGAACGACCCAGTCCAAAGCATATCCAAATCATGTTCACCGACTCAAACGAGTAGAAAATATATAATTGCATCGCCTCAAGTCCCATCCGATGTTTTCTAAAACTTCCCAAACGGAATGGCGCGGACCTTTTGATTTTCCAACCGGGATTTCTCTCTTTCCCATGTGAATGGTAAGTGCCCTTGGAGTTGATCTCTTCCATTTCTTGAGTCATTATGTTCGATTCTCTATAAGACCACTTCCATACACCCCAGCCTTCCTTTAAATCCGATGTTTCCTATTAATTTATTTTATTGGCGCCCTTAAAACTCCTATATTTCGTTTAAATGCTAATTAAGTACTTAGTTAAAAAGAAGAAAAAAGCGAAAACTGAGTGCACAGGCCTTCTACCTTGTCACCTGTGTTCTGATGTTATTTCTGGGATTTTGTGAGGGTAGAAAAGGTGTAACAGATGCCAGAGTTTGTCTCAGACCATAAAATGTCATTTCTCACACCCGTTTTCAGGCCTGGCCTCTAGAATCCATACTCGTTTTCAGACCTGGTCTCTAAGAAATTGGGTCATTATTACTCAGATTAGAACAGCAACAAAAAAGATTTCTTAAAATCCATTTCGAATTCGCATATTTCTCTTTCTTTCTTACTCATTTGGAGTGAAACGATAAGTACGTTCATACACTCCCGTAGTTCCCAATTCCCTTGAAAATCATACTCGATTCCAGACGAAAATAGTTAAGGTGTATACCCGTTTTCAGACCAAAACGGCACAAAAACCCTACCCTTGGGTGCGGCAGATATCTATATGGTTTATATAAGCGAGTACCCCCTCCCCCGGGAGCTCGGAGAACCCCCCGGGGGGGGTACTCCCATACATTACCTATACGGGTATGTGCCGCCCAAAGGGGTCGTGATTTTGAAGTTCCTGACTTAGAACGGGGTATCCATTTCAGAGGCGTTTTCTAGAACGGGGCATAATATTTCGAACGCACGAAAGCTCCACTTTTGTAAGCAGCCATTTGAAAGTATTCAAGGACAGATTGCTTTTAAAAATACGGTTCAATGCGTTAACAAGCAAGCCGTTGTACTCTTGTTGCACCCTAGAACGGAGTATTAAAAATTGGCCCATTTGTAGAACGGGGTATCAGTTTTAGGGCGAATTCTAGAACAGGGTGCCAATTTGGAGACGCGGGCGGCACATACCCACCCAAAAAATTCCCAAGTTCCCCGGGGAGAACCTGACCCTTCTCCACACCGACCTAAATGTTTGAAATATTTGACGAATGTTTTAGTCAATCTTTATGTGGACTTATTTTTATCTTGCTAGCTGACTTCTTGTCTTTTCCATCCACTGAAAACTTTTGCTTTGGTTAGTTTATTTTAACAAAGCTATAGTTCTTTTGGGGTTAAATTGTGAACCTATCTGTTTTCTCTCTACTTTATCAGTCTCAATAGCCTCGAATCAAGGAATCACAAAAATTATTTATTGAATGACTTTGGACAGTGTGGAGTCAAGGAATTAGGGGGTTTCAAGGAAGCATTTCAAGCAGTCTTTATCAGAAATGAGAGGTAACCAAAATAGAATTAACTTCGCCAAGAGGTGTAGACACAACACTTTTATTCTTTAAAGCCATCGTCCTAAGTTTTGTTAGGTGTTGCTACCATTATTAGCTATGACACAAAAGTGAAGCTCAGTACAATGTATATAGAACAACAATACTATTCACTAAACTAAAACAACATTAATTTGAACAACAATACACAAATAGGTATTAACACTGTAACTCACGACTCACCTCACCGAGCGGATCAAACAAATAGCATTACCGCTAACACTTGTACCTGAATGACGACCAATAGCACCATGACTTAATTGACTATCACGTAACTGACAGATTGTCAAAATATCAGTGATTTAATTGACTATCACTAGACTGACATTGCACAGTTCTCTTTCACTCCAATGACGACTGATGTCCACACAGGTTGGTAACATATCAGTGATTTATCACTAAACTGACAATACACTGTTCACTTTGACTCTGATGACGACTGATTTCAACACAGATTGTCATAATATCAGTGACGTAATTGACCATCACTTAACTGGCAATACATTATTGAAATTATACAGATTAATTATGGTCAAAAGACAATTCGTCGGGATACAATGTAGAGTGTCACTAAACTGACAATACACGATTCACTTTGACTCTGATGATGACTGATTTCCACACATATTGTAGAATTATCTCTGCATTACAGTGCAGGCACTCAAAAGTGGACACTTGGCAGGGTCAAATAAAGCCTGAGCCATGCACAGATTGGTCCTCTTCACTTGTTTAGTTCTAATTTTCCGACCAACAGCTCCATCATCTTTATAGGAGAGTCCTCCCTGGGAAAAGCTCTCCACCAATATTCCAAGACAAGACAATACTACCTGTGTTTTGATAATGATATTACATTTTTCTTGGTCAGATACTATACTTTACGCAGTTCCTAACCTGTATATTTTGACTTATGCAGCTTGTACTATCACTAAAACCTAATGTTTTTGTTACTAAATTTCTAAATAGCTGTAGAGTCCTACCGGTAACTTATGCTTTTCATATTTTTTTTTTTTTTACATTTTTTTTCACTAGACGTCGGTTGAGGTGGATGCAAGTGATCATGGAATCAAAGAACACATGGGATCAATGAAAGCAAGGGGTCAAAGATCACAGAGTGTCAAAGGAACATCACACAAAGTGTTCAGCAAAGACAAAAGGTAGCGAGATGATTTACATTTTCCAAGAGATAAACGTAGCAACAGGCAGTAATCCTCATCGGGTATTTTCTTGATACCATTATTCCATTATTCACTTTTTTCACATAGACCATAATGCACCTTGCCCCCCCCAAAAAAAAAAAAAAAAAATGCATAACCATTGTCTTTGATTTCTCTTGGGACGACTGTAATACCGAGGAGAAATTGGTAACTAGGGTTATGCAAACTTTTGGAGGGAAAACAAGGTGCAAGGTGTACCCTACGTCCTAACACTGAGTACACCAACTAGACTGACTACACTGTCTAACACCGAGTACAATGTCTATCACCAACTAGACTGACTACACTGTTAAACACCGAGTACAATGTCTATATCGACGACACTGTCTAACACTGAGTGTACTGACTATCACCAACTACACTGACTACACTGACTGCACCGAGTGCCTTGACTACATTGACTACACTAACACCGAGTACGCTGACTGCACTGACTACACCGAGTGCACTATCACCTACTACACTGACTACATCAACTTCGCCAAGGACGCCATGTACACTGAGTACATCACGTACACTAACTACATCGACTAAACTGCCTAACACTGAGTACACTAACTAAACTGACCAGACTGACTCCACCAAGTACAATGTCTACATCGACTACACTGACTAACACCAAGTACATTGTCTATCACCAACTAGACTGACTACACTGACTGCACCGAGTGCAATGACTACATCGACTACACTGTCTAAAACCGAGTACATTGTCTATCACCAACTAGACTGACTACACTGACTGCACCGAGTACAATGTCTACATCGACTACACTGTCTAACACCGAGTACATTGTCTATCACCAACTAGACTGACTACACTGTCGAACACCGAGTACAATGTCTGTGTCGATGACACTGTCTAACACTGAGTACACTGACTATCACCAACTACACTGACTACACTGACTTCACCGAGTGCAATGACTACATCGGCTACACTAACACCGAGTACACTGACTGCACTGACTACACTGACTACACTGAATGCAAGATCACCTACTACACTGTCTACATCAATTACACCAAGGACACCATGTCCACTGACTATATCACGTACACTAACTACATCGACTAAACTGCCTAACCCTAAACTGACCAGACTGACTCCACCGAGTACAATGACTACATCGACTACACTAACACCGAGTACACTGACTATCACCAACTACACTTACTATACTGACTACATCAAATACATCAACTGAACTATCTAAAACCAAGTACACTGACTACACCGAGTACACTGACTACATACACTACACTGTCTAACACCAACTACACTGACTACACTAACTGCGTCGAACACATCGACTAAACTGCCTTAAACACCAAGTACACTGACTGCCCTGACTTAACCCTTTAAGTCCCAATATCAACATACAAATTCTCCAAAATGATCTCCATACATTTCCTTTAAGAATCAGTGGAGAGAATTTAATAACAGATCAAGGTATTTTCTCTTTTGTGATCATTTGTTAATTCTCATAACTGTATCTCTTGAAAACTACTGGATATTGTTAGGAGAAAATTGATGTTGGTCACTATCGGGACTGAAAGGGTTAACCGACTACATAGACTACACCAACTATAGATACTACACTGACTACACCAATTTCATTCACTAGACTTACTAAACCAACTAATTACTTCTTACACACAAATTAAATGGCATAATTTTAACTAACTCTGTGGTGCTGTAATTTGAAACTATTAATGGAACATCACGGTCCAATTTTTGTTTTGATGCCCATTATGACCTTTTTGTATTTCTTTGTCGTCCTTCCATAGTTTATTACGCGATTATTGTTATAACTTAGTATGTGACTTGTTGTTGCATGCTAACATACTACACACGAATGAGTGATTACTTTCTCAAAATGTGTCAGGTTGTTACATCTTAGAGACTTATTGTCGCAAATACATGCCCCTCTCCTTCTGTTTGAATGCTTTTTTTATCTAAATGGTACCTATTCTTTTAAAACTCGATTACTTAATTATCTTTCTAATTAGTCATAATTATTTTATTATTTCTTACCATATTTGGATTTTCTTTTTCTTCTTTATTATTTAAGTAGTTTCTCTTGTTTCTTCTTTTTTTTCTTACATAATCTATAGTTATATATTAGATATTCTATTTTTAATTGTATTATCTTTTAGTTTTGGAGGGCCTTTTTTATATGGGAATTCAGTTTCTCCCTATTGCTTGCCTTTACCTACTGTACTTTTATATATAGTCTTTTTTTTATGATGATCATTGTTATTATTAGTTGGAGTATATTTTTGTACAGTGGTAAAAAGTATCATTAAACTTAAACTTAAAGAAATGACATGAATAGAAAAGTATTTATTCATTTTTTTTCCCTTCGATTTCCTTGCAGAAAGGTGAGCAGATTGATGCATAGATTGTACAATGAATCAAGGGAGGGGCCACGCAGCGAGGATCAAGGAACACGGAGGGATATCAGAGAACACTCAGGGATATGAAAGAACTTCACTACTCATCAGAGTAAAAAGAAGAATTGATGAAGAGAGTAAAGGTAGCAAGTGTAGATATGTAAACTTTCTTTCTCTAAAAAAATAGGGCAGGTATTGAAGAAGGTCTGAATGGATGCATCATGACTGATTGTCTCAGTGAAAGGTTATAGCAGTTGTCAATCTTGTGCGACCCGCACTTCATTTTAGAGCAAAGTGAGCTAAATTTAGTGAATGTCAATCAAGGAAAAGCAGTTATACCCTGCGAGCAGATGTTTCTTTCTTGCATGGCTTTTAGCGTTTACGAAGTCGTTTGCGTGGCTTGTCGGTCGCGTCGTAAACAAACCAACTATAAAACGCGACAGACAAGCCACGCGACTGACTTCGTAAACGCTAAAAGCCATGCAAGAGAGACTGAACCTCTGCTCGTAGGGTAAGCAGTTAAGTTGTGACACGATGCTTCAAGGCAAAGGAACCAAAAAATGATCGACTTATTTGATTGCCTGGAGAAGATTTGAGATGATTGGAAATGATCGAAAACGTTTTCCAAATAAAATTTCCTAATTATTCAAAAAAAAAAAAATTAAAAATCGTTGGTGCAAAGAAAGACTAACCATGAGAAGGAAGAAATAGACAAGATCAGAGCCAATAAAATGATCAGGGGACGCCCAATAAAACATGATCAGGTTCAAAAGTAAATTTCCTGTTAAAATTTCCAAAAGCTTTACGCCAAAAATATTTCAGATTAGTTTTATTGTGTAAAAAATTTCGTTTGTAACGTCAATTATTCTAAGTCCTGGTTTACTTGAGAATTTAAGACCTTGATGATCTGTATGCAAATTCTATTAAAAGCGGCTGCACATTGGGCCAAATTTTAATCATGAGTTTTGAATTCTTATCTCAAAAACAGTACCTCTAATAGAAATGGACTCTTGACAATTTATGGTGAAAGTTTTCATGAACAATTATTTACACTAAATGAACAACAATCCAAAACCAGTCGAAACACAAATAGAATTTAGATGGCTTTGTTTTGATTGACAAACAAACAAACACCAGTTAAGATGATAAATATGCAGTGGTCGCCACAGTATTGGAAACGGCGTAAGCAATTGCTCAGGAAATCAGCCCACGATGCAATATTACTTTTCACTTTTTAAGAAAGACCATCGTCATTGCTTGATTTGAGTTTCTGCCAAGACAGACGAACATTCAATACTGCAGAAAATAGCGCCAGAAATCGGGGAATTTTTGTAGATTTGAACGTATTTATTTTCTACCAGCAAATATATAGCCTGGTTAATTTGTTTGTGTTTGTATTGTGGTAGGAAGCAAATTGCTTTCTAGTGTGCAAGCTATTTCTATTGCCATACAAGCAAAATTAACCGAGCTATTTGGATCTCCTGCGATCTTTTACACAATTGATAGTATGTTCAAATTTCACAGCGTTTCCTAGTTTTAAGCGCTCTGTTCTGTATCATCGTTTATTTTTCTGTCTTTGTGGAAATTTAAGTCTAGTTGTTTAGGTTTACTCGCGGTGCAAATGTTTAAACGTACAAATTTTAATTTTCCATTCAGACCTTCTTTATTTTTTTTTAAGAAGCGGCCAAGATTTCCAATTCAGGAACAAGCTTTAAGTACTTTCGCTGAAAGACGCCTTCTTAGTAAATTATGCAGCGCAATTTCTTTCTGAAAATCTTAGTGTTGTTTAGATAAATTTGTATGTTAATTTCTTGTCTTCACGAAAATATGATTGGAATGTGGGTCCAAAAGACTTAGAAAAATACGGCGCGCCCACGGCGCATGCGTCGTATTTTTTTTTTTAAAAATACAAGTTTATTTACTTCAACTAGTATTAATACTAATAAAACAAAGAAGAGAATAAAAAAGTATTTTTCAACTTGTCTTTTATTTCTTGCTCTTACTATTATTACAATACAATAAAGCAATTAATATATTTTTCAAAAAAAATTTCTAATGAAAGAAATAGTAAGTCTTTTGGCGGGAAAATCTGAGCAAATTTGCACAGCGTTTCCCCTGACAACATTTTCGAGACAAAAATATGCAAGACGTGCCTTTAAAAAATTCTCAGCTAAATCTTTAATACAATTTCTCGTGCAAAAGTTTTTAAGTGAAACTTCGCAAAAGTTTAAAAACCAAGTAAAACGAGCAATGTTTTCCTGCAACTTGTCGCGAACAAGGCTACTTTGGAAGGCAAGATGCGGTTTGGGCGTGTATTACCTTCTTCACGCTGCAAAGAGTCGAAGTCTCTTCTGCCCTTCGCAACACGAAAATTAATTGAACGAGTAGATGGTAAAACACACAAACTGAATCTGTGTGCTTTACCATCTACTCGTTCAACTAGTTTTAGTGTTACGAAGGGCAGAAGAGACTTCTACTCTTTGCAGCGTGAAAATTTGCTAAGCGGGTAGAAGGTAATACAAGCAACGAACCGCATCTTGCCTTCCAAAGTAGCCTTGTACGCGACAAGTTACAGGAAATAATTGCTCGTATTACTTGGTCTTAACAGTTAGAAGCAAAAATGGCAAGCTATAAAAAGTTCAGTGTGAAAGACAAAAAATGCAAATTTACTCAAAAGTTTTAAAGCCAAAGGAAATATTTCCGAGAAAAAAGAACAAAATATTTTCCTTGCGACAAATTTATCGCTTTTTGGAAAGTTTCCCTCCCTTTTGTAATTCTATTTTTGTTCTTAAACAGATTTATAGCTTGCCAAGTTGCCTCTTACGCCACCTCGTGCAACAAAAGTTTCCTACTGACACCTATTTCAGCTGACACAATCCGTACTCATAGTACAGGAACCGACAAAAGTAAACTTTAAGCTGAAAAATTTTGAATTCCCCTTTTATACAGTTCTTTCGGTGAGCATTTGCTTTTCTTTGCTGTTCCTCCAAGTTTTCATAGTTTCAAACCGCAAACCGTCCCCGCCATAATTGAAAAAAAAAAAAAATTATGACCTCCCAATTACTAGATATTTTTTCCTGTGCCGCGTAAATTGTTCACTGAATAAGCCTTTTACCAAACTAATAATAAAAATAGCTTTGCATAAAACCCCTTCGTCTGGTTTAAAAATGAAAATTAATTTGCTGTATTGCTTAATCAAGAAGTGAATTGAATGAAACTTGGACAGACCATAATCAAATTAACTTCGAACGACAAAAGTCAAAATGTTCAGCCAAGTAAATGGATCAAGATTTATCGAATGGCCTTAATATAAAATTTTTGTTGAGGGAAAGTCTTATAGTTAAAAAGTTGGAACAGTAGAAGAGTCGGTACTTTCAATCTTCAACACATGTGCCCTTTGCTATTTCTTCCTTGTTTTTGTCAACATGTTGCAGCATAATTTTAGTCTTGAATACTTGGAGACGGCGGTGAAACACGTGAACTAATGTAAACGTTAATTGATTTCATGTAAGGCAAAATTGCCAAGAGTTATTGAACAGCTTTACAGTTTTCAGTTTTATTTTTTGAAATCTAGTGGTGATAAAATTGAAGAAAACGTTCCGCATCTTTACCTCGTTATGTTTCAGTGCTCCAGTTGATAGCCAATCATGTGTGTTCGATGATAAGTTTTCCCTTTTGAAATCATTATGTGCCAGTAACCACTTCAACTCTGTCAATATTTCTAGTCATGTTTGAAATCTATTCACTTTCGGAACAAGGTGCCGGTACACTTTCAGCTCACACACAGAATAAATGGATGACACAAGTTCTCCCAATTTTTCGGATATCATTTAAACCACTTTTTTTGTCTTATGCCTTAAAATCTTGAAACTGCAAGAGAGTAATGGTTCCATATGTAAGAGTTTTTATCGTCTGGAAATTGGTAGTTCTTCGTGGTGCGTAAAATTACCTGAGTGTCAATTAATTAATTGATTAACTGTTTCAATGTATCAAGGAAAAGCTACCCACTGAAAAACAGTACCATCTTTGGTTATAAATGTTCTTTTAGCAGGAAAATATATTGCAAAGTGATAACTGAAAACATGAGTGAGCCTTGTTGTTTTTACGCCAGCTTTGGTTGGAAATTTAATGGTTTTCATTTGTCGACTTTAAGTCAATTTTCAAGTTAGCGCAATGTTCGTATGATTAGAATTTATATCACTCAATATTAAATATACGGATCATAAAAAAAGACCGAAAGATTTGTTTTCCTTGGTATCATCAGTGCCAAAAATCTAAAATGATTTGACTTCATTATGATAACACAGCGTTGGAGTTTCTTTGATTTGTTGTTGGCGTTATTATTCAGACACAATAATATTCAAAGCAACGGTTCACGTCTTCTTAAGCCTTATTTCCTTTTTTTGAAAAAAGAAAACGAATTTTACACTAACTTTCATATTCAAAAAGCAGAACTACACAAACATAGCAAAACCATTCAGCAGTTTGTTTTCATAGAAAATCATAGCCTTGACATTCCTAGTTCAAATACAACGGGCTACCGGTTAGGTCATGAGTTAGAAAGATGGCTTCAAGGGTTTGATTTCAAAATCATAGAAAAAATAATCTACCAGCAAATCCCCTGATCTATTATTTTCGCCTACTTATTCATGAACTAATTTCAGCAGCTTATTATGTCGTCTTCAGTAAAGTGGATGAATCAAAACCTTGTTGCTAACATAAAAGAGTAATGGTTTGATATGCAAGTTTAATCTTCTGGAATTCTCCGAATGAGCAAAGCTCGCCGATCTATTTTTGTCAGTGGTTTTGTTGTGGTGAGTAAATGACCTCTCGATCGATTAATTGAAATTATTCCATAAAAAGGAAAATGAACCGATTGAATAACAGTAGTATCTTTGTGAATGAGTGTACTCCTAAGCTGGAGAATATCAAGCAAAGTTATGACTGAAGACTTGAGTGCCCTTTGTTGCGTTTTACACCAGCTTTGGTTGGAAAACTAATCACAAGATTCAGTTTTGATTTTCCGACTTTGATTCATGTTTCAAAAGAATGAATTTTGGAAGAATTTATACACATGACTCAGTTTGGAATGACGGAAAAAGAAAAATCTTAACATCTTGGAAACATCAATGCGAAACATGTTTGATTTGCTTTCAATCTGACAGTACAAAGTCGATTTGTTTTGGAGAGAAAAGTAAACTATGCAACACTTGACGTTTTCTTTGGTCGTATTTCATTTTTAAAATAAAAGCGAAA